GAATTATAAGTAATCTTTTATGAGTCAACATACTTGAAAAAGAAACTTTGAAATCCGACGTGTGTAAATTAAGTGACGAGATTGACAACGTAAAATTCGATCTGGCAATACTGGAGGCGCTGGGCTTGAAGGGGGGATAGGGGAAGATGTGATCCGCCTCAGTACAAGTTTGAACCCGCTCAATCCGTAGCGATTTTTTTGGTGACTTTTTTTCCTATTGTGTTCTAAAAGAAGTGACATCAATTTCAAGCAACAGTGTGCTATCAGGCGTCTCCAGCGATCCAAACAATTTAAAATTGTAATTACAGTAATGGACAAAAGTATATAGATAAATATGAATATTTACCTAAATATTTTTAGAAAACGAATTCATACTTCATTGCTCCATATACAAATCCGTTATTAGTAGAAAAACTAAATTCCTTGTTTTTACATTATCTGCAATACGAGTCTGAATATAAGCATTTTTTTATGAGGGACAAAAATATGTATACAAATTCTTTTCAACATTAGTTTAGTACAGTTTCGTGTCAGAATAGGATTAGTTAGCGTTCATCAAGTATTGTGGAATAAGTTGAGTGATTTTAAGACCATTCCGCGTGGTCCAGAAATTTATTTCGATGTGAAAACTAAGATCATTGAGTTATACAAAGAAGGTCAACGTCAAGTCAACATTGCAAAAAATTTGAAGCTCAAGCGTAAAGCAGTTTGGGCAATATTGAACAAATATAAACAAAAAGGTATCTTGGAAGCCTCTACGAGAAGAGGTTGACCAAGAAAACTTTATGCTAGATCAGTTAGATTAATAAAAGTAATTTCGTCCAAAGATCCGAAAAGCTGAAATCGAGACAAAAGGAATTGTCAGTGTTTCTACGAAAACTATAAGTAGAAGATTAAATGATTCGAAGTTATTTGCACGTCGCCCGAGTAAGAAGCCGCTAATCTCGAGGAAAAACCGTAAGGACCCATTACAATTTGCACGGTTGCATCTTGATTGGAGCATCTGTGACTGGCAGAGGGTATGTTTGAGTGACGAATCCAAGTTCAATATGTTTGGATCAGATGGTGTTCATTACGTTAGACGTCCTAGTAGACAAAGTTTGAACCCCAAGTACGCTTTGCCCACTGTCAAACATGGAGGCAGGTCTGTTATGGTTTGGGGGTGCTTTTCGGGGTTTGGGATGGGACCTTTACATAGAATAGATGGCATTATGGATAAGTTTGTATACACAGACATGTTACCCTATATGGAAGACAATATGCCCTTAAAATCAGCAAGATAATGACCCGAAGCACACTTGAAATCTCGCAAAGAAATTCTTTCTGGATGACCGAATACCAGTTCTCAAATGGCCTTCACAGTCTCCCGATATAAACCCCATTGAAAATCTATGGGAATACTTAGAATAAGCAAATACGAGATAAAAATTATTCAAACAAGGATGAACTGGTTATGCTACAAAATATTAACACAAACATGGTTGGTTTTCTATAATTCGATGATCTTTGCTTCTTTTTCTATAATTGTTTTGCTTTGTCTATATATTTTTGTCCTTCATAGTTCCAGTTTTTTTCAATTAATTTTTTATTGAAGGAAGTATAATGAATTTATTTATGTATAAGTGAGTATTATGCTATAACGAATTATGTATACAGGTTGGTGTATTAATAAAACAAGTTAAAAAAGAAATACAGCACAATATTAATTTATCTATATCTGTACCTCAGGGCCAGACTGTGTTAAGTCCAAATAAGCAGTTTTGAGATAATTGTTTTTGAAATATTTTTCTTTCATTGTATTGTATGCGACTTGACATGACTTAAAAAGTCGTAACTTCCTTATTATTACAGATAGATGGACGCTGCATGTAGCAAATGAAAATTCACAATATTATCAGAAGCTTAACATATTAAACTCATTTTTGACAAAAAGTGGACTTAACCTAGTCTGGCTCTGGGGCACAGATATACTTTTGTCCATTACTGTATATTTGAAAACAAAAATAAAAAAAAACAGTCTCATCACTTAATTAACAGACTCCGTTCTATTGTTTTGTAGGCTTCTTGGTGTCTACAACACGAGCATACTTGTGGCTAATTCACAACCGTTGTTTTTGCAGGTCTCGGGACCGCAAGAAAGATCGCAAACGTTCGCGTTCCAGGGGTACTCGAAAGCGTTCCCCATCACCTCGAAAAAAGCGCAGTCGGTCCAGGAGCAGAGACAGGAAACTGGAAAAGAAAGACAAAGATCGGGACAGGAAGGACAGAGATAGAAAGGACAAGGATAGACGAAGTCGGTCTCGTTCGAGGTCATCTAGATCCACAAGGTAGGAAAATTGTTTTATTCAATAAGTCGCACGTTAAAATTGGCTATTAGGAAAATCTTGTTTTTTTTTGGCAGCGATCAACAGCACAGGGTGATTTACAAGTCGTAACCAAAAATGAAACATCATATACAGGCCCGCATTTTTTCTTCTAGGGCTTCATTGAAAAGATGGTGTTGAAGTTTAAAAATAAAAACAAATCTTCAAAAATCTTTACTCAAAATGAATGTGCACCAGTGGCGGAGATACAGGAGATTTGTGGCATTATATTTCCAAATAAAACTAGTACACCAGTGTTTTTTTTTTCGAAACGCGCAATTTTTGGAATTTTACCCTTAATTTGCTACAAATACTCTTGTTTTTTCCTAGAGTGCATTGTTTTCGTAAAAATAAAAAGAACACAAATTAGATAATCAAAGCTTTATTTCAATAAATGTTCAAAAAGACCACCATTCTGACGGATATAAGTGCGGCATCTTTGTAATAAAGAAAAACGTATTTCCGCAAAATTTGTTGTCGCTTGAATTTGATGAAACGCATTATTTATTCTTTCTTGTAACTGATCAACAGTATTAATTTGTTCAGCATACACTAGTTGTTTAAAAGCGCCCCACAAAAAAGAAATCCAGGAGGAGGTTCAAATCGACCAACTAAGTTCATTATGAGAATTAAAGGTTCCACTTCTCGTACCAAATCAATAAAATCTGCATTTTGATTATGCATTTTGCCGATGGTAAGGATGTAAAACTTCCCGATTTAAAATTCTCCACGCAAGACTTTGGGAACATGGTAACTGTGCTGCAATCCGCCTATTACTTGTAGGATCATCCACCGCCAATATAATCACTTCCAGTTCCTCTTGAACAGTATGTACACTATGGCCTCTTACTTCGGGAACTTTGGCAATTCCATATTGCCACTAAAGCATTTCCATTACAGAACCCGTAAACAAAAATAATATTGGCGTACTCATAATTGCTAAATTCCATGTCACAACACTCAAAAAGGGAAAAACGACGTTTGACTTGTTTTTAAAAAAAATGGTAGTAGTAACGATAGCAACCGTATAACACATAGCTTTGACAAACTATCTCCCAAGAAACGTCAAGTTGGTATCAAGGCCTCCTATTTTATTTTGAAACCAATTGCATCTCCGCTCCTTTATGAATGATCTAATTTGTTTTATTTTTACTTTTACGAAAACAATGCACTTTAGGGAAAAACAAAAGAGTAATTATTTGTAGCAAATTGAAGGTGAAATTTAAAAATTGCGCGTTTCGAAAAAAACAAAACAGTGGCTTACTATTTTCATTCGGAAAATTAATCCCTCTAACCCCCTGTATCTCCGCCACTGGTACAAGTTAATTTTAAGTAAAGCCTTAGAATAAAATAAAATTTGCAAAGACGTATCCTAACGGGAAGCGGATAGATCAGCGCATCATAAGATGTCGATTTGGAACGGGAAGCGTATAAATCAGCAAGCGGCGTTTCCCCGTAAGGTCAGACATATTTCGTAACAAGATCCTCCGTGGTGAAAGGGTTAATGAACCCCCCGAGGAAAAAAATATTACATAGAAGACCCCCCTTAAAACGCGGTACTGTGTATGATGTTTCATTTTTGGTCACGACTTGTGAATCACCCTGTATATGAATTGAATATGAATATGATGAGTAAAACAGGCTGATCTTCACCAATCGCCTAGAATTTCATACAAAACTTGAAACTAGAAACCATTAGTGACAAATATCGTGTCACCTCGTTTGTATGTAATCTATACAAAACATTTGTTTCAGATCGCACTCCAAAGTACCTAGAAACTATGATGAAGAGGAAAAAGGTTATGACAAGGAAAAGGGCCACGAAAAGGATAAAGCTTCAAGTAAAGAGATGGAACCTGAAACGTCATATGATAACCAGCAGTCACCTGAGAGATCTGACAACATTGGTGACAATATGGACATTTCAAATTCACCATAGTTTCTTCTGATAAAAATCCCTTGACTATATTGTTTGTAGCATGCTGTACTATCATTTACAGTATTTAAACTGTTGTCACACTAGTAATCTTGCACTGATAATTAAAAACACAAGTAGATAGAGGTGTCCTGTAACAGAATCATTGTATGGAAAAAATTAACTTCAAGATTTATTGAAACTTTTTACTTTATTGAAATTTTAAATATTTAGTTTAATTAGTTGGTTTTTATCTTCTTGTTTTTGCAACAAACTAATCACAGAATAAATTTTTAAAAAATGTAAATGGCACTTTTATCCACTTGTGTCTTTACTTTTAAGTTTATTGAAATACTAGTAAGCTTGTATGATTTTCAGATAAACATCTTTGTTGTAAAAAATTGTTTTCCTTCATTCCTATATCTCCAGCACAAAGACACTAACCTACCTTCACAATTGAAGCAATACGAGAATGGTGTAAAAGTGACCATTTTTGGTCATAAAATAATATGAAGGTATTTTAACGCTAGTCTGTAGTACCACAGCAAACACAAATTGTCATTTGTATCCTCAAGACTCAAAATATATGAGAAAAGAAATAGTTCTTAATAATAAAGAATAAAAAATTAGCGCACTTTGTATGAATTACATACTAAGAATGTTTCCAAACTTTTGCCGCTACTGTATGTTCATATAAGGAAGTAGAAAAAAAAAACTCCATGTAAAACATGGCATAAATATATTTTGTGTATTCCTGCTATTTAAAGTTATTTTAATCTTATATACAATTATACAGGGAGTCCCGCGTAGAACTGCAGCCATCTATTACTCGAAAAGATGACGTTAGACAATTATGAAAACTTGTGGTTATGGTACAACTAATGCTAGGAATTCTGCTAAAATATTTTCAAAATGGTGGCATTTCCGGTTGCACCGGAAGTAGATGCCAACTTGCTTTTTTTATATGGAACACCCTGAATATTCAATTTTTGAAATCTACGTAAGACTAAAATTTGATGTGTAACATTGTATACCTAACTCCAAACCGTTTTAAGTAAAAAATCAAAAATGTAGATCGACGAATTTTTCGTATATGTTTGTCTTTGCCGAACGTTTATTTCCTAAACTACTAATTTGCGGAGTAGACGTTTTACAAAACTATTCTTATTTATAATGCTTAATATGATTATATAAAAACAGGGCGTATCCATTTGAAAAAAATGATTTTGGCATCTTTAACAATTTACTTTTCATCCAATTTTTTGACCACACTGTATTATGAAATTAAAAAAATATTGAATAGAGTTAAAGTAGACCCGCTTCTATATCGGAGCAGTTAGAAATCGTTCGACAAAGACAAAAATTTACGAAAGAGTCATAGGTTTATATGGCCCTGCATTTGCGATATTTTACACAAAATTTGTCAAATAAAGGGTTTAATTAGGAATATGACGTTATATATGAGATGGATTTTAAATTTTGGAAAGATTTCAAAAATTATAATTGAAATAAGCAAGTTGGTACTTACATAAGTTATACCACAACCCAAGTTTTCATAATTATCTACATCAACTTCTCGAGTAATTGATTGCTGCAGTTCTACATGGGACACCCTGTATATTTCAAAGAGAACCATACATACATACAACTATTTTTTGTACTTCAGCTTGTTTTTAAACTTCTTTGGATTGATTCCAAACGCTGCTAACCTAGCATCTGATATTTTTGCAACAGGGTTTTCTGTTTCATCTGCTCTTTTGGATTTCTTTGATGGCACTTCGCTACTGACAACGCCTTTACGTTTACGTTTTTTCATTTTCTTTGGATTCGCCTCTTTACTACTATGAACACTCTGTGCATTTGTACTGCCTACATCAGCATCCAGTTTCTTATTATTTTTCTTCCTTTTATGTTTCTTACAATCTATTTCAATTGCAGTATTATTGTCATCTGTTTTCAGATTTACATTTCCTTCTGCACATTGAACTTTTTTGTTTCCATTTTTCACTTTTTTCTTTTTCTTCTGAACCGTTTCCCCATTCTCAACTGCTGCTGAATTTTCTGCTATTTTTGAGAGTGTATCTTCACGCTTATCATCTGTAGTTGTTTTTGGTAGCTCTTCAGATATCTGTTGCTTTTTCTTAGACTTTTTCACGTTTTTGTCCTCCACCTTTTTTTCAGGACAGTTCTCAATCTTGTTGAATTCAGCATTTTTTGTAATATTTTTTCCAGTATTCTGACCTCCTTTGTTTTGGGAATCTGTTTCTTCATCACCCTCGCCAAAAAGACTGGGTAGAATTTTCTTTTTCAAATTAATATTTTGAGCTTTTTTCTTGTAAGCTATCTGATCATATTTTTCAACATGATCCGGGCGGATCTGAACAGCTTTTTTCAATGAACACCATTTGTTGAGTTCCCTTTCTTTTGCTAAGATAATCTGTAACAATTTTTATTGATATAAAACAAAAAATATATTTAATCTCTTCTGAAGCCCACTAACCACAGTATTTTTCTATAAAGAAATCTTGTCTATGTCATAATCTTACCTCTTCAATGGTGAGTCCAAAATCATTAGGTGCAACCTGTCTATACTTGAATCTACATGGCAAGTCTCCAATGATATCTTCACAATCCAGTTTGTAATACTCTTCAAAATATTCTTCATAGTTCTTATCATTGGGATCAAACTTTGGTTTTGGCCTGCTCATAGCCTCAGCAAATTTGGATTTTCTTTTCCTCTTCTTTTTTGACTTTGTGCTTTCAATGAGTTCTTCTTGGGTGTTTGCACTAGGGTCATACTCGCAATCCATCTGAAAAAAAAATTAACACTGCACTTCCTACGTAATGCCGCCATCATTTGATAAAGGATTAAGTTAAGCACAAGTTAAATCCTCTCCCTGGCCTATCGGTAGTTACCGCACAGCTGGCAACGTTGTCCCTTCCCATATCGAAGCACCCACGTAGTATGAGCAGTATAATCAAGCAGATAGAGATCGATATCGAAAAAATGTCACTATCAAACTTTAATGACAAATGTATGGGGAAACCCATGATGTGTGAAATATAGCTAATAGGTGAGTATAATTACCGGCATGGGTATCATGTAAAAAACCTATAAAACGTAAAAAAAACCTATAAGATGTCATCTTGCAAACTAGGTAGTTTTTAGGGCGCAAACAGTCATTCCACGTTTGCTCACTAGGATCGTTGTGAACGTCCATCTAAGGGGGAATCACTCAACTAAGCTACACGCATTATTGGTTGCATATGTTCTGTGAGGCCAATAAATGGTCCTACGACTGTAGTTTTTATCTGTGCGTAGAAAGTTGGTTGATAGCAAGATCGCATTCAGATGATTACGTGTATTGGTCTACATGTATATATATAAAATCAGTGATATTTCCTGTGTGAGAAAATCATTCCTGAATATGCTGCCATTGAAGTATATCTATTGGCTGTGCCCGACGGGTTATTTTTATGTTGTGCTTTCTGAAGAGATGTTATGTTCAAAGTTATAAATTACAAAAACTGAGGAAAATTACGGGAAATCATCACCACGCCCGCGTTGTGTGTAATTACTGTTAGCATGTATATATTACTCAAAATTAACTTACATTGAAGTCTTCATCTTCACAATGGGGTTCATATTCAGCATTTTCATTGCTAGCACCTTGATATTTCTCCCAGTTCTCTGAAAATTAAATATTATCAGTACAAGAAAGACACAATAATAGTTTAACAAAATGCTGATCAACATTCCTAGAACCATGCGTCTTACCAATTTCTAATTCTTCATCCAAATCTGGAAATTGAGGTTTCTGATCTCCTTCTGGCCCTTGGTAAAACTCATCGTTGAATAAAGCTTGCATCTTCCTGTCATGTTCTTCAGGATCAAAATCTCCATCTAGATCATCATCCTAAAAAAAAAATAATGTAGAAAGATCCATTGAAAATTAAAGGAAATTAGTATCTTACACCAAAGCCAATAGAAGGATTTCCAGTAATTTCTTTCAGCTTTTCCAATTTCTCTTCAATCTCCTTTCTCTTCAGTTCCTGCAGCTTCTTCAAATCTTGCATTTTTTCTTCCTTCTCCTTCTTTTTTCTCTCTTTCAACTCTTGTCTCTTTACTTTCCTTCTGTCATCTTTTTTTCTCAGTGAGTTTTCCATTGTCCTTGGATACCTTTTGATCTAAAATAAGAAACTATATCAAGATACTTAACAGCATTTGTGTTTTATTTGGTGTTAAAGAAAGAACTTAGTTTACCACTTACAAATTCTTGGTCAGGTTCCTCAAATCTAAAGTTATATTTGTGCTCAAATTCTTCCTGTTTCTCAATAGTTTCTTCGTCATTTGATAGCTCATCAGTACCATGAACAATTTCTTCATATGTTGGGACATATTCATCATTATCATGATCAAGAAACCTACAAAAAAAGGATTACAGGTAACAGGTTTAGGGTATGAATTACTCTAATAGAAACTCAGTCGAGGACCAAGACACCATCAAATGATGATTTGTTACTATTCAAAGCTATTACCTTTTATTCAAAATATAATCTCTCAAAAACTTTTCACCTTCATCAAGGTTAGGCTTGTTCCAATAATCTTTGAGTGGCTTCAGTTGCTTTTCTTCTTTCTTATCTTTCAATTCTTTTTTCTGACCTGCTAACCATTGTATGTAGTCTGTTTCTTCTTTGTCCTTGTCTTCCTTGGTTTTAGTTCTCTGTTTAAATAGTCCTGCCAAAGTAGGAGATAATACAATATTATCAAAAATAACTCTCAAGTATAGAGCCACATTGTGAAATCAACAGAATTTTTCAATACCATTCACTATGAAACTAAAATATTTTACCTCCCCATTCATTATCATTGTCGTCAACTTCATCCAAAGCTTTTTTCAAACTGTCCTTGATCTGATTTTGTTCCTCAACGTATGTTGGTGATTTAGGCCTTTCTATCTCATTTTCTTCATCACTTAACACACCTCCCTTTTCTAGTATCAGCTTTCTTTCATAGTCTTTCAAAAACATAGGCTGATCCTTTACCTAGAAGGAGAGCGATTCAAACATCTGGTAAAAGTCTATTTTATGATCAACATGATGCTACAGATATTGGTATAACTTTTGGCTGTTTATTATTTTGTACCTTTGTCACTTTCACGGATGTTCCTACAATTTCATCAGTGAAAAAGGTCGCGTTTTTATCGTATATTCTAGGATCTTTGCTTTTTAAGCAAGCCAGGGTTTTGAAAAAATCTTTCTCTAACTGCTCTGTTAATTCAACTCCATCCTCGTCGTCTGATGAGCTCGATGATTCGTCGCTTAGTTCTACATCATCTCCATACTTCGTTTTCACTGAAAAGTGTTCAAATTTAAGCTTTAGGGGGGTACTCGAATAATTTTTAATTCAAACATACATCTGTTCAGTTCTTCTTTCTTCCTCCATGTATTATAATTCTTTGCGTATTCATTATCAGTTTTGATTTGCACTTCTGCACCACAATCATCATCGAACAGCCCAGACATAGTCAACAGATATTAGATTTTAAGCCGCCTTTTTACTTTAGGAATAAAATAATAAAAATTAGTAAACACGTTTTTGTAGATATGACGTTACGAGCACAAAACATAGATATTCAGAACACACAAAATATATACTGTATAGAACACAAAACCTATACATATATGTACTATACTGAGTATAGAAGTATTGAACATAGAAACAGAAACAGAATACAACTGCACCACTGCACAAAACATTTAATTACACTGACTTATTATGAGGACAAGTCAATAGCGTAGGGATGGCCAAAAACAAACGGTTAATTAAATAGCCGGTTTTTGAATTTGATTAACCGATTGTTTCATAAAGTACGGTTAAACAGTTATCTGGTCAAAAAGTTCAAAATCAGAAACAAAGGTTATTTTTGTTTCTTGTCTAGAAAAAGTCATCATGAATATGGGTTCTCTGGATAGCATGACAGTGTTGTTTTTGCTGTCGGAAAACTTCGCAGCCTTGACTTTGCACTCGTTGTCTTTATCTTGTTTTCGTGTATGAATATGCAGGATGTAGATACTACCAGCACAGCCTCCGGTATATAAGCTCTATAGTACCAGACTGATGTACGACACAAGTGTACAATCTACGACACTGGTCATGATTTCCTTGTATGTAACCAAGCGCTTTGACGAAACTATCCTATCCGGTTTTTAAAATCATTTTTTTATATTCGTCCTCTGAACTAGTTTTGTACGGTAGTGCAATAGCATCGTACGGACGAAGGAGCTGGCGCCAGCGTTGTCATATTATCATTATACTTCGCTATACTCGTCCAACTAGATCACACACGTAGTAACACCATTTATGCTTTGTCGAGCACAACATTTTTAAAGGTACCCCGTATACAAACAAAATACCTATCTATCTTGCGTTTCTTATCGGCCCAGGCATATGAATCATTACACTGTTGTGCTTCGTCGAGTACGGACCGGTTTATTTACATTTTGGTGGAAATTCGTGAAATGCCGAAGCGAAAAACAAGTAGTGATGCTGCAAGATTGGAGAGAAAACGGCGAAAACTAATTAAGAGTTTAGAGAAAATTGACAAGAAAAGTCGGCGAGGTGATAGGTGTAAGAGCACTAGTAAGTTGTTTTTAGGTAAAATCGTTAAACCTAATGTATTAAGAATGGGCTAGAACCGTTAAAGCCTTTTGCAGTTTTCACATAACGTGAAAAACATATAAATAGGGTAAAACCGTTAAACCCAGGACATATTCTACAGAATATGTTAAGGATATTGCATGCGCAAGTAGGTGAGGACTGTATATATTTTTTATGTGAATCCAGCTCTGATTCTGATTCATCAGGAAGTATAAGCAGTGTATATAGTACGGGACAAACGTATACACATTTAGAGCCAGAAGTCATAATCAATGAGGCAGAGAGGTCTCCTCCTGTAATTGAAGAACAATCTCAAGATGAAAATCTGGAAATTCCGTCGGGAAGTGAGCCAGTATTAGGAAGCGAGGTTCACAAATCTCTGGCTGATCGATGGACCAAGTACGTGACATTAGGTTTAGAGAAATCGGACAAGGAGGAGTTGGACAAAAAATACCTGATTCCCAAAAATATTCCTTACTTACGAGCCCTTTTGTTGAACCCGGAATTGGAAGCAACCTTAGGTGATCCTGTCAAAAAAGAGGACAAATATGTTTCTACTATTCAGAAGCATGTGGGCGTAGCACTGGCTGCCATCGCAGGGGTAATTGATGGTATGTTGAAAGAAGATGTAGCAGCACCGGATGCAGCCTCGATGGTTTTTAAATCCAAAATGTTACCCAGTGTGGTGGACGCTGGCAAAATTTTGTGTGGCGTTTTGCACATGATGTCCACAAACCGGAAATATCACGTAGAAGGGCACTTAAACTCTACAGTGAAGAAAATCGTCAGAGAAAGTAAACCTGACGAATTTTTGTGTGGTAAAAATTTTGCCGATAAATTCAAAGAGGTTAAGGCCCAATGGAGAACGGGGAAAGAAATGAAGAATGCTCATCCATCTTCGTCAAGACAGCTGCCATCTACCTCAAATAACGTTTTTCCTGATAAGTCCTTCAGAGGTAACCTCATGCAGAGACCTTCGGTATCTTTAAACTACCAGCCTCACTTCCACAAAGGAAGAATGAAAGGTCGCCCTCAAGGAAGAGACCGGGCTCAAGGGAAGGATCGCCACGACAAAGTGTACCAGAGACGCAATTACCAGTAATAGAGGTGGGTACCAGTGTATATGGTGGCAGAATAAAACATTATATGGCAAATTGGCGGCAATTTACTCAGGATAAGACCATTTTGTCGTGGGTCAAGGGATATAAGATGCCATTTTTCAAAAATCCTTTTCAATATAGTTATCTTCCAAAGAAAATGCAGGACGATGAGATAAGACACTATTCCGCTGCCATCTTGGATTTAGTGAACAAGGGAGTAATCAGTCAATGTCAACCAGTAGAGAACCAAATTTTATCTCCCTATTTTCTTATACCAAAAGCCGACAAAACAAAACGTTTTATATTAAATCTAAAGTATCTCAATAAGTTCTTGAAAGCACCTCATTTCAAATTGGATAATTATAAATCTGTTAAAGATTTAATTTCTCGAAATATCTACATGGCTACAATCGATTTAAAAGATGCCTATTATATGATACCAATAAATAATAGAGATAAGAAATTTCTTAGATTTAAATTTGCGGAAAAACTGTTTGAATTTAATTGCTTGCCTATGGGTTTATCTACGGCACCCTATGTTTTCACTAAGCTTTTAAAACCAATATTTAATTATTTTAGGCAACTCGGAATCCTGGGTATAATTTACTTGGATGATATTTTACTGCTAGGAAAAACTAAAGTGAAGTAGATAAGAGTATAGCTATAGTGTTGTCCACTTTGAGAAAATTGGGTTTTTTAATAAACTTTAAAAAATCAAAAATTGACCCGAGTCAAGTTTGTGAATATTTAGGATATGTTTACAATAGTCAGAACATGACATTTTATCTTCCCAAACATAAAAACAGGCAATTTTAAATGCAATTAATACTTTTGTTAGGAAGAGAACATGTAAAATAAGAGAGTTATCAAGTATTATTGGATTGTTAGTTTCAGCTTGTCCGGTTGTACAATACGGATGGTTGCATATTGAGAGATTAGAACGAGCAAAATTTTTGAGTTTAAAGAGATTTAGAAGTTATAATTCTAAAATTATACTATCAAAGATTATTTGTAGGGAACTATTGTGGTGGAAACAGACAATAGACACATCTTTTAATGATTTGGGTAGTAAAGAATATGCTTACGAAATTTATACAGACGCTTCCAAAACGGGATGGGGGGCTGCATGTAATACAGAAGTTACCCATGGGTTTTGGGATCAAGAAGATATGAAACATCACATTAATTTTCTCGAACTTTTGGCTATTCATTATGCATTGCAGTGTTTTGCTTCAGAGTAAAAAAACTGTAACATTATTCTGCGTGTAGACAATAAAACGGCCATAGCCTATATAAATAAAATGGGAGGCATACAATTTGAGAAATTGAGTAATCTAAGTAGACAAATATGGCTATGGTGCGAAAAACGGGAACTAATGCTCTATGCTTCATATATACCATCCAAAGATAATATAATTGCTGATGAACAATCGAGAATTTTAAATATTGAGATGGAATATTCGTTAAATAGTAAGAATTTTTCTAAAATAGTAAAACAGTTTGGTAAGCCTAATATCGATTTGTTTGCATCTAGGATAAATGCTAAATGTAATACTTATATTTCATGGTTGAAAGATCCAGGAGCCTTAACATCTGATGCATTTACAATTAAGTGGGATAAATCCTGGAAATTTTACGCGTTTCCTCCTTTTCCCATAATTGGACGGGTTTTGAATAAGCTAATTAAAGATAAATCTAAAGGAATACTTGTAGTTCCCTACTGGCCCAATCATTCATGGTTTTCTTTGTTTCTAAGACTTTCGTCAACAAAACCCTTAATTTTTAAACCCAATAAAAGCTTACTTTTATCTCCATTTAGAACCAGCCATCCATTTTGGAAGAACATACCCCTAGTGGCGTCGATATTATCCGGGGATCTTTTGTAGAAAAAGAAGTTCCTGAAGAAGCTATACCATTAATGATTAAATCATTAAGTGAATCTACATTGAGGCGATATAGTGGTACTCTCCGTAAATGGTGGGTTTACTGTAAGGAAAATAGACTGAGACCATACGTCGCAAGTGTTGGTCATATTATCTCCTTTTTAAGCCTTCTCTTTGAGACAGATATTTCTTTTGCGACATTAAATGCTCATAAGTCTGCCTTATCTTTAATTTTGAATATCTCATCTACAGATGAGCAATTAATTAAGCGTTTTTTGAAAGGTGCCTTTCGGGAAAAACCTAGTTTTTCTAAATATAATATTACCTGGGATCCTATAGTAGTATTGGATTATATTGAAAAATGGTATCCATTAGAAACCTTGTCACTAGAAAAGTTAGTAAAAAAGTTAGTCATTTTGTTAACGTTGGCTTCTGGGCATCGAATACAAACTATCTCTAAAATTAAAGTTAAAAATATAGTACATAGGGAGAACGGTATAGATATTTATATTACCGATATGCTAAAAACATCAAATTATAATCGTCAACAGCCAGTGCTAAAATTTGATATATTTATCGAACGTCCTGATTTATGTATTGTAAAAACATTAATTAGGTATTTGGAAATAACTCAACCAATTAGGGGAAACGAAGAATATTTAATTTTAACCTATCGGAATCCTGTTCATATAGCATCTCCGCAATCTATAAGTCGCTGGATAAAAGATGTAATGAAAAACAGCGGTATAAATACTGACCAATTTAAAAGCCATAGTGTCAGACATGCAACAACGTCAGCGGCTGCTGGAACGGGGATGAACATTGATAGTATAAAGAATTTAGCTGGTTGGACGAAAAAGTCAGAAGTATTTGCTAGGTTCTATAACAGACCTCTGCAAAGTGAATTAAATTTTTTGGAGTCTATGTTAATGAATAAAAGCTAGTATATAGCTAGGGATATAGGTCTTACATTAAGGCATTTTTTTTCCTATATATATAATAAGAATGTTATATTAGTAGTATTAAAAGTATTTGAATACATATGGTTTGAATTAAAATAAGTTTTGCAATAAAAAGTGGTTCTATTACAGTGATCTCATTGATTATTATTTATTTGCAATACCAAGAGTTCCAAAAGAGTAATTATTACTTTCAATAACTACGTGTGTGATCTAGTTGGACGAGTATAGCGAAGTATAATCAAAGGAACCAACGACTTACCTGTAGGAAGTTTGTTCCAGATTATATGAGCTATACTCGTCCAATTAGATTCCCACCCTGAACCCTTCCCGGGTAATTACTCTTTTGAAGTTCGACTTCAACAGTGTAATGATTCATATGCCTGGGCCGATAAGAAACGCAAGATAGATAGGTATTTTGTTTGTATACGGGGTACCTTTAAAAATGTTGTGCTCGACAAAGCATAAATGGTGTTACTACGTGTGTGATCTAATTGGACGAGTATAGCTCATATAATCTGGAACAAACTTCCTACAGGTAAGTCGTTGGTTCCTTTGAATATATTGCCAATAGTGTTAAATTTTACAGTGCTTGCTTGTGGAATTGCATACAACCATTTTTCATACTCATTTTTATCATGATCTTCTATTGCGGGATAGTTCAAAGAAATGAAAGAACATTTTTCATTGAGAAATAGCACGAGACACTGTTTTATTTTCTTTTGGGAGCAAATTTTAGTATGAACTAGAACAGTGAGTTTCGAACACGGTCATGTCCGCTTTGGTTAATCAATGCGGGTGAAAGTTAATGAAAAAATAACTTATTAACCAATAAACCATTTTTTATCAATAACCGCCCATCCCCACACGATGTGCACCACAGAACAGAGAGTATGGCATTCTGTGACACTGAGAGTTTTGTGGTGGCAGCAGCTATGTTGCCATAGCACAGAGTGCCATAGTTACAAGGAGTATAGCTTTTGGTCTATATCTGTCTCACTTTAACAAATGATAAAAGAGAGAGTACGCAATAGTGCATTTGTTACTTGGAACAATTAATTCATACAAATAAAAATTTTAGGAGTAGGGTTTCAAATCTGATTGGTTGGTCTTTGCTGCATTGCCAAATCTTACTGCGTCAGAATTGCAAGTTTCATGGCTATTTCAATTTATTTTATATCGCCATTAGGTAGTATAATTTACTTAAAATTTCGAGTTTTAAACTAGTTCATTATGTGCAAAAGTGTTGCTTTTGAAAAGCTGAATGGTTCTTTTCATCAACTTATAACTTTTGCTCAGTATGTTGATCTTGGACAGTAGTTTTGCCTAGCGTCATCATTTTTCTTCTGAATACCCAGATGCTTTTTTGAATTATAAGCAAAAACTCCGGTGCAAAGATGAATAATAGTGAGGACGAGAAAGAGGCATCTAAGGCAGTCCCCTTGGACCTCGCGAAAAGCCAAATAACCACTGTGAAAACAGTAGAAAGCAAACCTCCATTGGTCATGAGTAGCCAGTCCCTGAGAGGCGTTAGAGTGTTGTCCCAAAGTGTCTCAAATCCTAATACCGTTGCCCTTGGGAATGCTATTATCACCACCAATCTCATTTCACAAGCAGTGCTCAAACCTGTTGGTAAGTATGTCAAAACATGCTTATAAGCTGAATCTCAACATAGTTAGCTTTTAGTCAAAGTTGTAGATATGGAGCTACTAGGATTGTATCTTAACCTCTTACATTGTGAAGTAGCCCTTAACAATAATAATAAAGGTGTTTCTTCTATCCTCATGCATCTACTATGCTTAATTATTGCCCAAATACTTGAGAGTGTTATAGTTTAACCAAACCACATTTAATCGATGTCCCTATAAATTAATGTCGCATATATTGCTGAATGTTTATACTATTTTCAAGACAGATTGCAATAAACTTGCCTGCAGGCCAATGGGAGTGCATGAATTAGAATTTAGGTGTTTGTTGTGATGGGGCAAAATGAGGTTTGAACGAACTATAATCTTCTATGTTCTAACATACTGTTCTATTTTATTGTAGATTCAAGAACCCCAACAACCACTTCTCAATCTCTGACATCTGGTAATCTAAGCAGACCTACACAGATTACTTTCTCTCCAACAACTCCTCTGATAGCACAGAGTACAACAGGTACCTCATACCATGTTCCAAGGGGGCCTGCAGTGGTAGCGAACTTGGCTGCTCCAAGAAGCAATGTGACTACAGTAAGAGCTCCGATGGTTGTCACTGCACAGGGTAGTCAACCACATGCTTTTGTCAGGCCACAAAGGCCCCCTACTGCTGGACAAGGGACCACATGGCTTACTAACACACAGAATGGATCTCAAGTAAGATTATTTTACAGAATAATTAAGTCAAAGAAAAAAATATAGCATGTCATTTCTATTTTAAAAGAACAAAGTGAAAACAGTGTAAATAGATTTTATATATCCCTGCAGCATAACTTGAAGGTTGCTGAAGATTTTCTTGTATTCACAAATATTTGCAAGTTAATCTCTTACCTTTTATTGTGTCTTATTAGAATTTATTTTCTGTATTGCAAGTGTTCCTTTTTGTCCTATTGTCACTTATTCATTCTAGATTAAAGGCACACCAACAGTTTTAAGCGCTCCTGTAAAAGGTACTGTAGTCACAGGAAAGCCTCAGATTATAGCCAGGACACAAGGACCCCAAATATCTTCAGGGATATCTTCCATAAGGCCAAATACAATTTTGCAAAGTACAATCACTATCGGACCGTCAGGAGTGACAGGACAGGTGACTATTTTTTGTTCTATATTTCACTATTATTGAAAGTAAGCTTTAGATATACTTATGTTGTTGATTTTAACAGGCAGGCTGAAAATTTCGTATACTGGCACATAGATGGCGCTAATAGTATCAAATCCATAAGATTTTCAGCTAGCCCTAACCGTTAAAAGATGCGTGTATAAATTTGACAGCTGTTGCACTATTAGTATCTAAGTTATAGCATTTTTAGTGAAAAAACTTTTGTTACTTTGAAAAAATGGATAAAAAGGAATTTCATGTGTTAAAAAAGCATTGCTTTTTGTCGAAAAAAATACTGTTGAAACCAAGGCTTGGCTTGATAAACATTATTCGGACTTTGCACCAGGAAAATCAACCGTAGTGAAGTGGTTCGCCAAATTTAAATGAGGCGAAATGAGCACCGAGGACGATGCACGCAGTGGACGCACTTAAGAGGCTCTTACAGAGGAAAACATCGAAAAAGTCCACAAATTAATTTTTGATAACCATAAAGTGAAGTTGATTGAGATAGCTGAGATCCTAAAGATATCAAAGGAACCTGTTGGTCATATCGTTCAAAGTGAGTGCCGCGCGAGCTCATAATCGACCAAAAACAACAATGAATTGATGATTCTAAGCAGTGTTTGGAGCTGTTCAATCGTAATAAATTCGAATTTTTGCGTCGATATGCCGATATGTAACGATGGATGAAACATGTCTCCATCATTTCACACCAGAGTCCAATCGGCAGTCAGCCGAGTGAGCTGCACGAGATGAACCGACTCCAAAGCGTGGAAAGACGCAAAAGTCGGCTGGCAAGGTTATGGCATCAAGTATTCTGGGATGCTCATAGTATAATATTCATTGACTATCATATAAAGGGAAAAACCATAAACAGCGACTATTACGAAGCGTTATTGGAGCATTTAAAAGACGAAATCGCGGAAAGGCGGCCTCATTTGAAGAAAAAAAAGTGCTGTTTCATCAAGACAATGCACTGTGTTACAAATGAATTGGGCTTCGAATTGCTTCTGCATCCACCGTACTCTCCAGATCTCCCCCCAGCGACTTTTTTCTGTTCAAGAGGATGCTCGCGCCTATTTTGAGGCTAAAAACAAATCGTGTTATAAAAATGCCATCGAAAAATTGTATGGTCGCTATAATCGTTGTATCGCCCTCGAAGGAACTATATTGAATAATAAAATAATTCTATCAAAATTTTTGTTTTCTATGCTAGCCTTCAGCCCACCTGTTAAAATACTGTTTTAAGAAGCAAAGACTCATACATATCATTTATATTTTTGGTTTCTTATTTTTCCCTTTGATGCTCATTTTTTCATTATTTTGAGATGTTTCACAAAAGAGGCTCAGATACATAGAGTGTTCCAATTAATTGAACAATCAATGTTTGATGCATCACATGAGCTCGAAGTAACCCACCCCTGCTCTTTAATTATTTCAACAACCCCACTTTCATAAGTGCTGTTTAAGTTGAACATCGCCTCTGGTCTTCAATTTCCAATCGTCAGTAATATAACAGTGAAGCAGGTTCATTTATATCAATGGAATGATCAGAAAAAAGTTCCAAAAGTACTCATTTTTTACTAATTTTCCCTTCCAGATTTTTCAGCTTGTGAGCACCCTGATGATCGATTGACACATTAGTGTGTTGCATACTGGGAAAAGTATCTTACACATATATGATCATTGAGTCAGTCAAAAAATTGTTGTGTATTCAAATCTAAGCATTGTAACTGAATTTTCACATTTATAGATGCAGCCTTTCAAACCTGCTGCTGCTACAATCCAAGCTTTGGGCACCACTGTGGCTCAAGTATTGCCAAACCGCACTCAAGCTGTTGTCTACACTGCAAATACTTCACAGTTCACACCCACCACAAGGATCACAGTGTCCAATACTACTCTGGCAGCTCAAAGGCTGCCACAGACCAGAATAACAGTAAGTTTTGTTGTAAGATTTAAAATGCGGCAAAATGTTGTTATATAAATGTTTTTCACAGTCAGACAGCTGATGCGCTCATTGGAAAAAACCGTATACAGTTTACTGTCCTCACACCGTGGTACCGTGGTGTGTGCCCACGAGGCGGTGTGGTGCAAGCTAGAAAGGGATTGGAGATACCTTACCAATCTGGTTGTGTTTCACTTGGACGCCGCCAGGTGGGCACTAAGGCAGCATAAGAGAACAAATGAACCATGGCGTGGGTAGGATTGAATTTGCCTCTTAGATACTGAAAGTGTGTTAGCAGGCGGAGCTGTCCACGGAATGGAGGAGATGCGGGTTCGAATCACATCGGCGCCGATTTTTCGTATTGCTCAAGTTGTTGTTTACTAAACATACTCCCTTTAGCCGATCCGAAAATCGTATGCACAAATATTTATTTTAAACTGACTGCTTTAGTCTAATCTTGTTAGGAAATTTCCCTGAAATAATTGTAATGTCTGGTTTTATTTTTGCAAGTTATTCAAGGGGGTATTTAAAACATGGACGCATAAAATGGGTACACCAATTTTTGTGGGAAAACGTTTTATTTGACAACAAAGAATGAGAAAACGTGTTTTTTGGGATTCAATCGAATGTGTTGAAAGGAACGAAATAACTTTTCGTATAAGATTTTTAGATATCTATGAGACGTACAAAATGAGACCACACGTAAACAGATCCGACTAATAGCAAAAATGTAATGACCGAAAAACAAGGCAAAATGCAAGTTTTGCCACTTGTTGGTAATGCGACGATAATTCACGCAACTACTTGAAATTCTTCAAATCCCTAGGATTCATGCTTCTAAATAACAAGAACAAAATTGGATTATATTGATCAAGTAGTTTTTGAGAATTTCGAATTGTTTATCCCAAAACACCTGTCTTCCGGCCATCTGTATTATTTTACTGAGCAATATACAAGGTTCGTCCAAAGAGCATTTAATAGCAAAATACACGTGTTTACCTAGCCGATATGAATCACAAACCATTCCAAAAAATAAATGTTATTTTTATGCGAAAAATAAAGGTTACGTTTTTTTCTTCTAAACAAATTCAAACATTTCATATTTGTGAGTAATTGAACATTTTAAAACAAAGCGGATGTGTCCATCATCTTTTGATGCGAATTACTCACAAATACGAAATGTTTGAATTTGTTTAGAAGAAACCACGTAACTCATCCTTTTGTGCATACGTATAACATTTATCTTCCGGAATGGTTTGCGATTCAGCAAGGTAAACTAGTGTATTTTGCCATAAAATGCCCTTTGAGCTAACCCTGTATATTGCTCAATAAAATAGTAGTGATGGCCGGAAAATAGGTGTTTTGGGATAAACAATTAGAAATTCTAAAAAGATACTTGACCAATCTACTCCAATTTTGTTGTAGTTATTTAGAAGTACGAAATCTACGAATTTCAATAATTTCAAATATCTGCGTGGAACCATCATCGCACTACCAACAAGTGCCAAAACCTGCAGTATGCCTCGGTTTTCGGCCATTTTGCTATTAGTCCGATCTTTTTACGTGTGCTCTCATTTTGTAGGTCTCTTAAATACCTAAAAATCTTATATTAAGAGTTTCGATTTAATCCCAAAAACACGTTTTCTTGTTCATTGTTTTCAAATAAAAAGTTTTCCATGTTTTGAATACAACCTTGAACTACTTGCAGCAATAAAACTAGACTTTACAATTATTTCGCAAATCTGGGGTATTTTTGTCTAATATGATTAGACTACTTTTAAATTGCCTAACCTTATCCAAAGATTTATCACATGCAAATGATATTCAATTTCAAACTAATGACTCAGACCAAGATAAGAATAGGAAAATGTGATGGAAACGTTCACAACTGCCATATTGCTATGCTTCTGATGAAGTTATGAATTGGTCTATAAGATGAATCTAAAAACAGTTCAAGTAACTTACTTATTTGAAAATTACATTATTTTCAGAGTCAAGCATCAGGTGCTCGGTTGACAATGCCAGTGAATGTGACTCAATCTTGTACTCGACTTGTCGCTCCTCAAACTACTGTGCTTACTTCTGGTATGAGATTGTCTACTGTCTCTACTTCTCAACCATCTACAGTAAGTATATGTGGTGAGAACTGATATATGTCCAAAATGGTGTAACCTCTATCCTGTACCTGGCTCCTGAATCCACAGAACGCTACTGAGGGTTTTTCTCGTATTATCGATTCAAACAAGGACACATTTTTACAGCTTAAATATTTGGCTTCCCAATAATGTATGTTATCATTTGGCCATTATGATACAGGTCCTAAACATCTTTAGCAATATAAACTAAATGGTAATCCGTTTTTGTTTTTCCTCCAACAAATAGGAGATCAGGTTATGACTCATATGAAAATGATCTATTGTGTGGTGGTGGGTCTGACCCTGGCAATGAGTTGTTTTATATGGACTCTACCATGTAAGGCCATATCAGTTTCTTGGAGCACACATAGATGAAGTGCTCAAATGGTCAGAACACAGAAAAAAAAAAGAAAATAAAAACAATGTTGCCATTGTACAATGTCATTCAAAACTTATTTGGGAAAAACGTATTCCCAGGAGTTTCCTTTACGGACCGGTATCTCCATAGGAGAGCCACGTTGAACATTTTTTCATTGTGTAAAACGAACACTTTTTCACTGTTTAAATTCTATTTTATTACTTTTGCACTAATTTGTACCACTTGTAACTAATTTATGACAAATTTATTGACATGTCGACTGGACTATCGCGTCGCGCGCTGTCGATTACTCGATACCGAATGTGTACTCTCTGTCATCTCTGCGTAAATTTATTACCCATCGATGAATTACAAAAGCACACACCCGCTTATGCTCTATCGACATCGAGCTTTCGTGAAAGTCGTCTAGATGGCGGTAGGTACTTCTTGATGGTCTTGATGCTTCTCGAACGTCCGAATCTTCTAGACGGCTGCAACCGCTCGCCCACGGTCGCGTAACTCTGGTTGCATAAGGGTCGACGTCGCGAGGGTGCCCCACCGCCACCATCCAAGGTCCCAGCTATACGAGGGCGTTACAATAAGAACCTGCGACATTATTTTTTTGTTCTACAAGGTCTGTCGCAAAGTAAACAGGACAAAGAAAAAAATTAACAAACACTTTTTGTTTCGGAAAATTATTTTATTCAAAATAGTCTCCTTCAGATTTAATACATCGATTTGCACGGACCAAAAGGTTTTCGAATGATGATTTTACCTCATTGACTGGAATGTCCTTCAAAATGGTACTGTCACTTTGAGCGCGATAACTCCGCGTGAAGTGGTTCGATTGTGATGGAATTTTGACAGGGCATCCATGAAAGATGTACCTATCCCATAATAGATGGCGCTACTTGTATAGGATATCTTTCAAAAGTCCTGTTTACTTTGCGAAAGACCTTGTTTATGCATACGAGGGATTGACATGCTCTTTTGGAACGCCCTATATAAATTAATACATATTTAAACTACATTTTTCTTCTCAGGTTTTGGGTTCGATCCCAGCAACAAGAATAACCACAACTCAACCAACTGGTACCATAAGTAGGCTTTCAGTTGCCACCGCACCTGCCGTTTCTACCGCGAACATTCTAGGTTCTACCAGGATTTCGACCTTGAACTTGCAGAATCTGCATTCCTTGGTGGCCGTTGCTAACAACGCTCAGCCGAGAAATGTGCAGTCGCCTAAAGTTATCACACAACCTGCGCAAGGTATGCATCCTCGAAAACGCTTGTTATTTTTGTATGTTACCAATTTGTTAAGAAAATTTCAATATATCTTATTAATCAAGTGATTTTTAGGAACAATTCACTTGACACCTCTCTCTACAACCGTCAAGACTACATCGAATGTTGTTTCTACCATTGCCAGAACAAGTGAGTGAATAAGTAAAATTAAAAATCAAAACTTCAAAAGTCGTAAAATCCAACCAGACTGTATTTACACTCGTACAAGATTATAATAGTATCAACACGGCAGTGCTGAGCAACTAAATATGCATTGCAGTATTTTATCAAATATATTCCCTCTTGCGCCCATACACGAGCATTCTTTACTGCGTCTGCGGGGCATTCAAAGTTTTTTATTCCAAATATAAACCACAAAACCAAACCATAAACACAAACAATATAATAATTGTATATTTCATTTTTATTTGATCTGGAATCTTACTTGCTTTTGAAGTGTACTGTAGTGTTGCCGAACCGAAAAAAAAAACGGAATCGTTAAAAAGAGTTGTTGAATTCGATAGGAGGAAAAATACTGTTCCAACATCAGTGGTGGATCAAGGGCCTTTGAGTCACGCAGCTCCGTCTATGAAAAAAGTTTATTATTGTATCAACATTTCTTTAAATTTTTACTGAAATTTGAGTAATTTCTTAATATTCAGTAAGCTGGTGATGTTTCAATGACAAGCTGTCATAGTTTGACATTATTTTATTTTCAATCTTTCACAGCTCTTGGTTGCTGAAATTTGTTGAATGGATATTAAAGCTCATTATATTTGACGAACTGTTACCCTATAGGTGGAAAATAGTTGGTCATCCATGAGCTTGTGCGATGGATTGAATCTTTAGAGAGATTTAATTCCATTTCTTTGTATCTGAAGATTTTGTATTATTTTTGATAAGTTCACGTACTTTTTCGACGGTTTCTGGCGTAATTACAAAGTTTGCCTGGCCAGCGACTCACGACCTTGTTCGATTGTCATGAAATTTTTACAGGGCATCAATGACAGAAAAGATGTCTCCGATAATAGATGGCGCTACGTTATCGGATATCTTTCAAAAGTCCTGTTTTCTTTGCGACAGATCTTGTAGGTTAGTGCGTTACCTTTTTGCGTTCATTTTATAATTGTTGGATAAATTTCCAACAGAATATTGAAATACAGCCAGATCATGTGCCTTTCGTCGATAAATAATTCATGATAATTAAGTTTTTAGGAGCACTGAAACGGCAGGAATCCAAGTAGAATTGACATTTGATCATCATATATTCCTGAAAGAAAGACAGAAAGGATTATTTTCATTCCTCGTATGAAAGTTTGACAGAAAAGATTGTCACATGACAAGTGTGTGACAATAGTTTTGTCTTCTTTTCAGTCTTAAAGTGCCGCTGGATTAAATGACAGTAGTGAACGCTCGTGTATGTTCTGCAATTGCCTTGCAGTCGCTAGAGGCGCGACTAAAGTGCAGATACTTATCAAATTTTCCTATTCAGTAAACGTACCAAGTGTGGCTGTTAACCAGCGGCAGACAACAGTGGTGCCATCTCAAGCCATATCAATAGCCAAAGTGTTCAATCAAGCCGTCGACGTTACACACGGGACTTCCCCGGCCACCACTACAGCGAGTGTCTTCATACACGCGCCCTCGTCTCAGCAACAGCCTACAAGGAGGACTTCACAAAGTAAGCAGAATGCATATTGTCGACTGTAATTTTTTTTATACTTGAACCACCACGAATGCCTAAGACCTAAACACCCATGGGTACCGTGGGGCTAAAGGGTGAAAAAGGGAGGACACCGGGTGGACCTCCACGTTCGACAATCAGAAACCATCTACAGACAATCCATGATCCATAACCAAGAGAAAAATTCTCTTCTTTTACTGAGGCACCTCCATTTGGTATCGGTGTTTCAACCTTTGGATCGTAAAATTTTCTCTTGTTTGTCTACTCTAGAAAAAGGGAACTAATAGTTCATACTACAGGGTTCGTCAGAAGGAACGCATGTTTTTTAAATGAGTAGTATGGTCAAAATAAGTATGGGAAAAATATTTTAGTATATCAAAATACTCGGAAATGCATGCCATTTTTTTGAGTAAAACAAAATTTACGTTCTAAAAACTATGTCGGCCATATGGCGCCCTTGAGCCGAAATTCAGGAATCAAGCCTCTCCCAAAATGAGCCCATTGCGTCGCCCAGCATCCGTGCAGGAATTTGGGTTACTTCTCTTCTTATTTCCTCCTTCAAATCGACGAGGGTTCGAGGCTTGCTTTGGTGAACTTTCACTGATTTCAGGTAGCCCCATAAAAAAAATAACACGTTGACAGGTCCGGGGAGCGAGGAGGCCATGGAATATCGCCATGACGTGAAATGAGACGTGCTGGGAATTTTTGCCGGAGAAGTTCCATCGAAATGCGAGCTGTGTGAGATGTTGCCCCGTCTTGTTGGAACCACACTGTTCTGAGACGGACACGTCGACCTTGAAGTTCCGGAAAAAAAGTTGTTCAGCATGGATGTAAAGCTTTGAATTCATAGGAGTTCATCTCCATCATCCTCAAAAAATAAGGGCCAATAATCATCGTTGGGCCTACTGCACACCAAACTGTAACTTTCGGGGTATGCAGGAGGTGCCCATGCAACTGGAGACCAATATCGACAATTTTGTTTATTCACTTATCCATGTAAATGAAAATGTGCTTCATCACTCTTAAACAACGTCATGTCATTGTTATCCAACTGTTCAATCATGAGCTGTGCAAAATTAACACGTTGTGCATAATCCCCTGGCAACAGTTGTTGACAAAGTTGCATTTTGTAAGGATGGAATAAAATCTGATCAAATCTTCTTTACTTTGCCTTCAGGTCCAACCCCAGTGTCAGGTACCTGTTTCGCGCCATGTAGTAGTGCTTCTCCGGCCACAACTGTAGCCACGTATACGCTGGCTAGCGGCACTTATTTTTACGATAATTCTGCAAGTACGTACTCGGTAAACAGGACTTTTGCGAATCAACAGCCTTTTACGACGCTCGCCACGCAGAGTTCGCAGCCACAAGCTGTCAGGCAGACGCCTGTATTGAGTACTCAGCAAGTACATGGTAAGCAAGTACTAATATTACAGTTTTTTTACCAATTTGCACAAAGATTTCAAGCTAGATGGAAGATAAGTATCTAGCAATGGGGTTATGTCTTGACCTTTCTTAAGCATATGACTGCTTACATCCTATTTGACAAATTGAACAGATATGGAATGAGGGCTAATACATTGTCCTGGGTAGAATTTTATCTGACAAACAGGAAACAATGTATAGCGATAAAAAATATATCATCAAGTCAGATTTCATTTTTTATGAGGTAGGTAGGTATACCACAGGGCAGTGTGTTAGTTTCCATATTAGTTGTCATATACATCAATGATCTAAAAGATAGCATTAGGAACTATGACTTTATTATTAATTATGCTGATGATACCAGCATACTTATAGAGACAACAACACCACTGGATTGGAACATAATGGTCAGCAGGTGTTGGAATCAGCAAGGAAATTGTTTGCATGAATAAACTTGTACTAAATGAGGATAAAACTGATTTAATAATAACTAGAACAAAGTAATCACGAATTGATATACCACAAAATATCACACTTTCTGATAGTGATATCCAATATGTAAGTCAGCAAACTAAAGTGTTAGGAATACATTTAGATAAATTTCTGTCTTGAACTCCACACATAAATAAACTGCTTTGAAACTGAGTAGTTTCAATTATGGAATAAGAGTGTTGTCTAGGTATATAAATTCAGAATGTTTAACAATTGTATACTATGCAAATTTTGAATCGATTGTACTTTATAGAATAATACTGTTTGAAGGCAGCACAGAATTGCAAAAATTGTTATTTAAAAAAGGACCATAAAAGCAATGAGGCATATGAAATTTAATGAAATATGTAGAGGCGGATTTATTTTTGAATGTGTTAAGTTCATAGTGAAAAATAGAAATAATTTCCCCTCGCAAAACGATCACCCATATGGTAGAATAGCTCTGAATATTTTGCTACCTGTGCATAACAGGAACTGAAACAACTCTTTTTAATATATCCGCAAAGCTGTATAATAAACTACCTCACCATCATTTAAATGCGATGGAAGGTACATGAACCTGAAATGGGTTTTATTTCAGCTGGAACCATACAGTATTTCTAGATAAATATGTATATTCATATTATGTATTTGAGATTCTAGATTTGGAATAAATATTATTATTTTTATTATAGTCCGGCAAGCATCTTCACGTCCGCTCGAAAAATTTGTTAAAAAAGCACGCCTTATAACAAATGTTTGTTGCCAGGCCCAAAATTGCGTTGACTATTTTTTTCAAAGAAATTTCAAACACTTTTTTCTTTCGCACAAAATATTTTTGATTTTTTTTTTGTCATTCTGAAGAAAGGTTCTTATAAACTTTTCTCCAAAATTGACAGTTTTAGAGATACAATCAAATTAATATTTGAAATAGTAAAAAATGCGCCATTTTTGACTCCGAAAAATATGGAAAAATGAAAATTGCAGTGTTGTCAAAGTTTCTAAATATTCTTCAAACATCCTTTAACAGAATCTCAAAGCATTCAGGGGGTATGGTTATTGTAAACCTTGGTTTTAAATTGTTAATCAATCGCGCGCTCAATGTATATTCTGCGTGAGAGATAGCATAATGACGGCCGCTAGTTGACGTTGACAGCTGACATTAAATGTATGTTACTGTTCTATGGATATCCGTAATGAGATCCTATTTGCTGATTTTTTTGCCGGAAAGAACTTAATAATAAACTAAACAATAAAGAATTTAAATAAGTTAAGCACAAACTTAAAATATTGTATTGTATTTTCAATACAAATGAGAATGAACTGTATCATCAGTAAAAAGTTAGTGGGAAGAATTTTTTGGTTATTAGAAATACTATTTTGTCTATATGGTGAATCCCCTAGAATAATCTACTGTTGTTGTGAGCTTGACAACCCACACGTGTTATACCTAATTATAAGGGATACTAGATTTGGTGTCCACCTTTTGCATAGGGTATTTTATAATTCGATATTCTGGATTCGCCAACTTCCACGTCTGGTGATATGAGAATAAATGAACACAAACTAGCTTTTACAAACCACCAGTTATACTCGCATTTAACTACACTAGGGCACAAATGGTAAAGAATCAAATTTAAACTAAAACTACACGTCAACTGCTGTCAAAATTTTGGGACCATTCCGCTGGGCGCATTTTGTTCCTCTACACTTAAGAGTTCCCCCTGGAGAATACGTTAATTTATTGATTTTCAGGCGTCGTATCCAGTCAACCCCAACAGCAGCAGATCCGTTTCAACCCGATGATGGTCGTGGAACAGACCCAACAGCCTCAACGACCATCATCTCAACCACCTCCCCAATCTCAAACCACCTTCCAACAATCCTTCCAAGCCTCAACCGTCGATCAACAATCAATGTCAAACGCTGCAGCCGAAGCCATGTTGCAGCAACAGGCCGCACTTACTAAAGTGACGTCATCTCCTCGTCCGAGCATACTGCGCAAGCGCGATCACGAGGGGACGCCGCTGAAAGCAGCGAAGAATTTGCAACCAATGTTGGCGACGTTGCCGTCTGCTCAGCAGCAGGTGGCGCCGCCTTTGTCACCGCCTTCTAGACCGGATTCCAGGGGCAATGGACACAGTTCGGGTGAGTTACATTTTTCACGTTGCTTTCCAGCCAACAACGCAATTAGGTTTGAAGCGCATGTGCTTTAAACACGGAGGCTTCACACCCGAGATGACGGCTGGAACGTAACAAAACGTTGTTACTTGTTTTTTTCATTACTGTCAATGTCGCAGCTGAGGGCTATTTCCGTTACTAATATATTTTTAGTTTTCATCTTGGCATCTAGTTTTCTTGGTTTTCATTCGTTTTTTTTTTGTTTTAATATTGGCTTGGTTCATTCTCTTAACAAAACTTCAGTTTCTATTAGTATTACCTAAGTTACAAAATTGAAGAAAAGGCAAGCTATTTAAAGAGCGGCTGCTAAAAGGGCACTATAAAAGTTTTGTAATACAGCTTTATTTATTGACTTCGTTCAAAGTAATTTTTAATCACATTAATTACACTTCTCTATGCGCCAAAACCAGTCCTTAAACCAGCTCTGCCAAATTTAACCCGGAGCAGGAGCAAGATCTGGACTGTAAGGAGGGTGCTCAATAAGTTTCAGTCCAGTAGTGGTCAAATACTCGGTGCAGGCTTTGGCGCGGAGAGCTGGAGCTTTGTCATGAGGAGGTACCAAGAGTCCATTCGTGACTTTAGCTGTGACTGTCTTCTTTGTGTCCATAACGACAAGTTCCACAATCCCTCTCGATTTGAAAAATACAGCTATCATTTTTTTCTTAACAGGTCGGGATTTTGTGAGAGCTACATGTGTGTCCTCATCATCAAGGACCCAAACTGTGATTTGAGCCTTGGTCGGCACATCGTAATAATAGAGCCAAGCCTCGTCCCTGTCACGATGCTGTTCACATACCGAGATTGCTTCTTATCAAATATTTGCACCATCTTTTGGCACCAAGTCGTACGATGAGTCTTTTGCTTTTCCGTCAGACGATTCGGTACCCTGAGAGAACAAAGTTTCTTCACGTATAAATGGTCATGCAGAATTGAATGAATTCCTGGTGATTGAAGGTGTGAGGTCTCCTCTATCTGTTGCTATGGCACTCTCTGGTGTTTGTCAAGCATTTTCCTCACAGCAGTAATGTTTTCCTGTGTTACTGACGTTCGCGACCTCCCTGCCCTGTCAGCGTCCTCCAGAGTGAAATTGCCCCTTTGGAATTCTCTGTACTACCCATATAGTCGTACGATGAGGACAATCATTATTTAATGCAAGCGTCATTTCTTCTAAGCAATGGTCAATGCTTAAACCACGCGTGGCATAGTCCGCACTTTACACTGTCAATACGCATGAACAACTAAATCAACAGACGTGCTGCTGGCGGCTACTATGCACTCTTGGACATGTATCAACATGCAGTAACATGCAGTCTTCTGCGTCCGTTTGTTGTCATATTGCAAAACTTTTATAGTACCCTGTATTTACATATTTATAACAGATTGACAGCTTTAAATTTTCATGTGTTTAAAGCACCCACTAAAAGGCTGGTGCTTGAAGGGCAAGGATACGAGGGATGTCTTTTAAGTTTTGCATATAGAAATAAAAGAACACGGTAGGTCGTTTTAAATGACTACACATCTGCATGCGCTCGAACCAAAACGGCATTTTTGAATGCGTCAACTGCTTCTTCTGGTGACTGGAACCTTTGACCACGCAGTCTGTTCTTAATTTTCGGGAAAGTAAAGAAATCGTTAGGACTTAGATCGGGACTATATGGAGGATGGTCCAATTATTCCACGTTTTCTTCCGTTAAATACTGCCTTGTTTTTTGGGCTGTGTGCGAGCTTGCATTGTCTTGGTGGAGGATGATTCTTCTTTCGGGGTTGATTTTTCGAAGCTCGGTGATGACTTTTGGCAAACAAATGGTGGTATACCAATCCGCAGTAACAATTCTTTGCTCATTAAGAGGAATTGTTGCAATATGACCCTCTTTTGACGCAAATGTCACGACCATCTTTTTCGAAACACTTCGAGAACGGATGAGTTTTGTTGGCTTTTCTTCACCTTGGCACACCCAAACAGCCGACTGTCGTTTATTTTCTGGTTCATGGCAGTAAATCCACGATTCATCACCACTAACAATGCTGTACTACACATTTTTTGAGTTTTCCGGAATTGAAACGGTCAAGCGTTTTTTGACACCAATTAACCCTGGCTGCTTTCTGCTCTTCAGTCAACAGGTGGGGTATCCAACGAGAAACTAATTTTCTTACTCCTGATTCTTCATGTAAATTTTTTTGAATTGAGGTCTTTGAGATCTTCAAGGACGCCTCAATCTCGCAATATGTCACATGTCTATCTTCAATTATGAGTTTGCCACAGCATCGACGTTTTCCTGGGCGACTGCCGTTTTTGGTGCACCCACCCTGGGATCGTCGCTAAGACTCACCCGTCCACGTTTGAATTCTCCATACCAACGGGAAAATGTCGACTGATGTGGCGCTTCGTTGCCGAAAACAGACAGTAACTCAGCAAGGCATTCTTGTTGCGATACTTGTTTCTGAAAGTTGTAATAAATTAAGGCGCGACAGTGTTCTCGGTTGAGTTCCATTTTTCTAATGACTTGGTGACACTTAAAAATTCACTGTAGTGCGAACACTGCACGTATAGTTGTGAAACTTTGAATTTAAGTTTACTAAAGAGTGAGGTTAAGATTCAGTACTGACGTTCGATCCGCGCGGCCTACTATGTTTCTATATGCAAAACTTAAAAGACATCCCTCGTAGAAGCAAATTTATGCCCCCTGTATCAAAACGGTCGGCTGGAAAGCAGCTCTTATAGCGGCAAAGGGTGTCAACAAATGACCGCTGATTACCTAGTGACATTCAAAATACCGCATGTCTTCAAGTGGCACGTAACATTGACTGGTCTGCATATGGAGCCAGGATAGCTGACGGTAATGCTATTGGTGCTGTCAAAGCTTCTCCGAAACTTGACGGAGCGCCAGTGGTGCTTTGACAGGGTTGCCAGGTTGGGGGTTTTTGCTCCAAAACTTTTTTTTACTCAATATGTTCTGGGGGATATCACACGTTTCGCTCCCGCTCTTTGAATCAAAGCTACCCCTTTCCATTAATTAACTATGATTTGGCGGAATGCTTGTGCTTGTTCTGGGGAAATTGCATTGACAGATCCGCCACATGAACACGAACAAATGGATTTCCATTTAGTCCATTGTAAATTAACTCAACTATTTTTGCTTATTTGGAAATTACTGTTATTTTTTGTGAAGAACTGTTGAAAAGTCACCCTTTGTGCGATGATGAATAGTTTAACGGGGGGAATATAGTAACATATTCATTGTTTGGAATTCCTGCTACTCTCCAAAATAATGGTGAAAAACTCGATTATTTATACAAAGACAAAGATTTATAGATTAAGACATCGAAGTTGGAATCCTTTGATAGAAGAATAACCAAAATTTGCAGGAATATCCAGTGGCGGGGAAAAAAAGTCAAAAACCAAAAAAATCGCTCTATCGCATTTTTTTATGTTTATATTAATACCAACCCCAGCAATTGTACGCACTAATTAGACATATTTCACACATCATAGATTTCCACGTACATTTGCCATTCAAACTTAGAAAGACATGCGTCTCTGCGTAGACTGACTTTACCGTCCGGCGTGCCGGTGTTGGTATGAGTTGTCGCATGAGTGGTGCTTTTGCTGAATTCTCTCTCGCTCTCCTGAATTCAGATGCTGGAGAGAGGTGACGCGACGTTGCCATATTAACGGTACAACGAGTAGGACAGGGAACAAATGTTATGGACTAATTGTACGGATTTGTTTGACGGACTTGATGTGTTTAATTCCTCTGTTATATATAATCAAACACTTTTTAATTTTATTTAAACAGGCTGTTCTCGCCTGTCCAACCTAATACAGCCAACCACAGACAGCCGTGCTTTTTTGGAACAAAAGCATAGCAAGCATGCTCTATACATGATATTGTCACGACTTTTTCGTGAGGGGTAAGGTTGCTCCGGATTGAACAGACTTGCTGGTGTGAAGGCTCAAATGATAACACAAAAAGATAAAATATTCAAGTTTATTAACAAAACCATGCGCAATTTAGAGTACAATCAAATAAAATAGGTACTTACTTTTTGGCCCAGGAAGGCTCAGTTCCACGAAGAGAGATTTGAATTCGACTTAGGGTCAGGTCAGGGATAATCACACGTGTCAGCCCATATTGTTTTTATAAATTCGATAGAGCCGGCGGCCAACGATGTGCACATTTCTGAGCGGATATGGTTTAAGTTGTCTAAGGACCTATTGTCTTTTCCACAAATATCCATTACGATAGAATAACAGCTGATTAGTAATAGCAATGATAGTTCTGACGAATCCGCTAACGAGAGGTAGACAGAGCCGTATTATGTTTTAATTATTTTTTATGCGACAGATTGTTTTTGCTTACAACTCTTTTATTCAGAAGCAAGTTTTACTTGAGTTACACCCGATTCATTACTGCCAACGTTACGGACTCAGTAGACGTCAAAACGTGATGGATACTCGTGAAATAGGGTTTATATGGTGCTTATGTGGCGCTGTGCTATTTCGATAGACTGCCAACTTGTGCTGAACCGATGACAGCGACGCGTGAGTCAATCTGCTTGACGACATTAGTCTTGATGAATTTGTAGGTGGCAGTACTACTATTTCTGCGACATCTAGTCCCGGACTTGCGGAGATCAATGACGACAGCAACCACGCTACTGTTGTGAATAATATCAAAGAAGAAGAGGAGAGTAAACCTCCAGTAGAAATGAGTCCCAGAAAGAAGCCCAGGAAACAGCAGTTGTGAGTATCCATATCATATCCATACTTGTTTTTCAGTTCATCTAATTTATAATCAAAATGATACAACACGTGCATGTTCTGGCGGTCGAAATATGAGTAAGATTTTTGTTTTGTACTTTGAACATTGGATATTGTTGTCTGACTTGAAACTAACTTTCAGGACTGGCAATGATTTGGATGAACACAATGATGATATGCAGTTTATTTCTGAGAATACAGTGAAGAAGGAACATGAGGATTCAGATGGCAACCATTCTGATGAGATAAAAGATAGAAATTCAGAAACATGTGTAAGTAGTAAGAGCTATGAATCAGACTACAATATTTGTGAATTACATTTTTTGATATTATTAGTTCTCAAAAAATTTCTTAAACAAGATTATGTTTTTTTGACGTTTCTCGACGTATATAATCACGAAAAACCTTGTCACTAATTTCCGTCTGTCAGCTAATCATTGACTATTATGGCATTTCGAGTTCCTGTATGATGTCTGGGAGCAGAACACATCCGGGATAGGTTTTGCTCCTGATCATTTGCGTAATATTATTGGTAGGGTTTGATCTTTGAGGGTTGTGAATGTTGCCTCTTTCGTGTCACTGAGAGAGGTTCTACCGGGTGCGCCATCTTTTATGTCGGCATGGAAACATCTAATGACTTTGATATTTACCAACCTAGTGATTTGGTTATACGTGTTTCTGAAACGTCAATTCACTACAATTTTAGTCATAAATCGCTTTACACCGAAGCAACGCGCCGAAATAGTGACAATGTACATTGAAAATCGTCGTTCAGTTGTGTTAACGCAACGTGTATCTCGTCGAAAATATCGTGACAACACTATCCGTCGTTTGGTTTAGAATTTTCTTGAGTACGGGACAGTGGGAGATGGTCAACATATCGTTAATCAACGACCAAGATATTCCAATGAATTGGTTGAAGCAGTCAGAGATAGCGTTACCCAGAATCCAAAAGTGTCGTATCGTCACCGTGCTCAGCATTTAGGCATCAGTGGAACCACGTTTCGGCGCATATTGAAGGATGATTTGCATGTGTTTACTTATAAGGTGCAGTTAACATAAAAAATATTGCCGACTGACCGTCCACGTCGCTTGGAATACGCCCAAACAGTCGCTCGCATGGTTGATGCTGAACCTGATTTTTGGAAGCAAATTGTGATGACCGACGAGAAACATTTCACGCTCTCTGGCGGCGTTAATAAGCAAAACTGCCGCATTTTTCTTCAACGAAAACGAAACATCGATGGAAATCGATATCGGTGGATGTTGGCTCATTATGTCTGCCCTTGATGGTTACTGGTTTCAACAAGACGATGCGCCCATCCACACTGCAAATGGAACAATCCAGTTTCTGCAACGAAAATTCCTTGGACGTCTGATGTCAAAAAGAGGTGACATTGACTGGCCACCCAGGCCTCCAGATTTGACCCCACCGGACTTCTTCTTGTGGGGTTATTTGAAAAGTCAATTGTACGCCAGCAAGCCCCAGACCACTGAAGAACTCAAGCCAAAAATTCGTACCACAATCGCCGCTATACCACCAGAGATGCTCGAAAAAGTAATGGAAAACGCAGCAAAACGGGCACATTTTGTTTTGTCCAATAAATTTGGTTACTTGATAGATGTGTTCAAAAACTAGTCCCAATAAATTGTAAAGGACCATATTTAATAAAAATACCCGATATATAGAAATAAGTTTCTCGTTTTCAAAGTTATTTCATGTTTACATACCGACATAAAAGATGGCGCACCCTGTACTTTTGAGACGCTTCTAATCTTGGTAATATTATGCACCTATCAGACAAATTAAAATGACGCCAATTGAACGTGTTTCGATCCCCGCTCTCTGTGCTGTGACCATCCCGAAACGCCATTAAATTAACTGGCCTTGTCGCCACATTGCTTTTGTGTATCATAAGTAAATTTAACGTAGCAGTCTTTTGAATAAACTTTGCGTCAAGTATGTTAACATTATATCTCACATACAATTGCGTTGATCGATTTCTTTTGAATCATAGATCGTATGGCGTTAGGTCTGGAAATAAGCCGTACATAATCCAATTTATGGCAGAATTACGTGGGAAGCAAGGTTGATCATTCGATATTAACCATGATTTGAATCGATGAATTATATTTTATAAAGACCAATATTTCAATGAAACTTGTTTTTTCATGAAAGTGTTAGAGTAATAATAATCAGATCAGCTACATAAAAGAAAATGCTTATTCAAATGCACACTTTTCAATTATTTATGTAAAAAATGCTATTATAGCGAACTATAAAAGAATAATGAAGTCATTCAACAACTATTTGTCATAATCTTCAAACGGGAACACCGCCGTCCCATTTCCCGGCCTATTTTGAAGTTTGGACCAGACCAAATGTAGAAAAAATTATTTCTGTGGATACAGAGAAAGCCACTCACTGGATCACTATTTTCTCTAAATTTAAATATTAATGGCAGTAGGCCTGGATACTCATTTTGAGCATATCCTAAAGCTTTCGGGCGGAATCGAGGATAAAACCAGACTCTTATTTTTGACCTGCGAGAGTAGTTCCGAAATTCATCACTAATGTCGTAAATGATATTCCCTTTTTGGCGGATTTATTCAACATTCCACTTGACACCTTATTCACTCCACTGCTAACGCATTGCATCGAACGTCAGCTAGAGGATTGCTAATTCAAAAATAATAGCTTTTTTTCGGAGTTGTCTGTTAATAACATAATGTCAAAGTCTACAATTTACAGTCAATGTTGAACTAGATTTATAACGAATATTAAAAAAATCATGGTTTATTTGATTTACATCAAAAATCAACCCTGGTGGAAAGTACATAGTCAACCTACTTGACGTCATAATTATCTATATTGCAGGTGACAGTACGCAAGCCAGCTCCTGTCAGCCTCCTGAACAGCTACAGGCAAAACTGGAAAGCGACCCACAATCACTATTTGCGTCACTCTGACGTGAAGCCCAAGGACGAGCGACGACCCACCATCATGGATTTGGCCAATCAGTGCAGGGTTCAAGAAAAGATCAACGGCTGGAAGATACACCATTTGACCACACAAATGGAGGATTTGGTAAGATTATATAAATATTAGCCGGGGAGCGAACTTCATAGCGGGGGTAAATGACGATTTTTGCTCATTTCTTGTAAATCCTTGGTGTAAGCAGTCAGAATACTGTTGGAAATTGTTACTATCAATTAGCTGTTTGTGAAGAACTGTTGAAAATTGTTTAACCAGGAGAACAGTAACATGTTCATTATTTGGAATTCCTGCTATTCTCAAAAAAGCTGGTGAAAAACTCTAGGTATCTTCTGGTGGAATATGTGATTCAGTATGCTCCGAGATAGCTTTGGTTGATTACTAATTTTATTGTTTAGATAGAGAGTAGCCTTATTTTTTCATCATAACAGTGTTTGTTTTTTGATGATTTATTTAGCATCAATGCTGGTATTTTGTATAATTATTCTTTTAGACATTTTTTTAATCAATTTTCTGTAACTTTACATTCTAGTTATTAAAATTACACCTGTCTGCATTTTGGGTATTCATAAAGGGATTTTTTAAATTCACCTTAAACATCTTTACTCATTGTTTAGTATCATTATTCAAATTTTGCAGATGAATATCTATACTGCCTCTAGTTTCATAGTTATCATAATAATAATTTTGTGAAGTTTTCTAAATGTGGTGGTAATAAATAATTTTTTAATTTGAATATGAAAACCATTGCAGTTCTTCTAACATCTTAGTATCAGACTTAATTTTCTCGTTTTTGTTTTCATTTAAAATAATTCTCATAGCTTTGTACAATTTCTAATTTTGAAAATGTGTGTTTGCTGTAAACAAATTTGTTGAACAACATAAAAAATGGAGAAGAATTAGGTGTTATACACAATTTGAATATTTTTCTCTTCATTTTACAGGCTGATCAAGAGGAGGGTGTCTACAATCAACTGACAGAACTTTTGAAGTGTACAGAATCAGAAGAAAATTGTAGGCAATATGATAAGGAAATCAATAGAGTGAACGAGCTAATAAAGGTAATAATTTTTTAAATACAAACTGAATATTCAAAATATGTACTTTACGATAGGTTGATATATCTTTGCCAATTTATTTTATTTCTCTGTTTAATTCGTACTAACTTCAATACACTTGGTGCTTCAGCATTTCAGTAGCCTCCAATTCAAATTTTGTCCAACTACTTTTGGGCTATCACCTGTTGATTACTTGAAATTTAATTCCTGGAGGGCTGTTCCGAGAAAAAGACTAGAATCGGGGCTAGAAATTGAGTCAGTGTGCTTTAGTCCCAAAAACTGTATCATTATATATTATTTGTTATAGGGAAACCTCCAAAGGGTCAAAATTATCAACGATGGAATGAAGGAGGCCAAATCTCAGATAATGAAAATATTCGACCATAAAGTTCATGTGATGGATATCATCAACCGATGTGCCAGTAAAAGGAATTTCAAAAAACGCGAAAAGTCATAATTATTCATAAGTCATTACAATGTACATTTGCAATTTAAATAGGTTGTATATCTTATATGTAATTTTTGTATGAAAAGATTTACGTTTTACATAGTTTTATAAAAAATAAATGTATTGTAAATGTGAATAAGCCATAACTTGTTGTTTATATAATAAATTTATGAAGAAATAAAGTATTCTTATATGCAGTGAAGGCAGTTTTCAGGTTATATCAAGCGTTTGCATATAAACCATTTTCTTCTGATAACTTCATTTCTTCATGTTAAGAAAAATTGGAACCGCTGAGAATCACGTCTCGCGACCTTGGGTTCAGGACTTCAAAAAAGCACCAAATTTGTATGTTCTTTACGATTTTCACAAAATCTAAAATACGGTACATATCCAAGTGTTTATTAAAATATGGTACATACTTTAACAAATAAAGCACATTTTGTCATGAATAACATACCTAAAAGATAATATTAAAAATCACAATAAATAAATATATAAAAAGTTTATTCTATCAAGATCATGAGCAAAAAAACATAGTTGCCATAGTGTTCCTCAATTGTTTAAAAAGAGAGCTAGAGTTCATAGCTCAGGCCAGTGGGAAGTATAGTTTATGGAGCCTATATATCAGGAGAACAGGCGAAATGAGAAAAAAAACCCAAATCACAGTTAATTAATGTTTCAAAGAGCGGAATGCTTTCTCTTCGCGAAATATGTAGTATCATCCAGAAAATTATATCTCCAAGTAAAAATCCTCCAATAGGCCAATCCTGTCAAAGCACCACATACTCCAGGCGTCAAGATTCGGGGTAGTTTTTACAACGCGAACAGCATTGCCGTGGTTTCTCCTGGTATATAGGCTCCATGGTATAGTTACTTCTTAGAGAAGAGAATATTATTGAAAAACTTCAAATATAAACAGACATCCGTCACAACAAAAACATGCGCCTCAAAAAATAGTCTAATCATATTAGCAAAGTCTAGTGCAAGTTGTTCAAGGCGGTATTTAAAACGAATAAGATAAGAACTAGTAGTGATGGCCGGAAAACAAGTGTTTTGGGATAAACAACTAGAAATTCTGAAAAACTAATTGAGCAATCTACTCCAATTTTGTTATGATTATCTAGAAGTACGAATCCGACAAACTTGAAGAATTTCAAATATCTGCGAGAACCCATAGTCACGTAAACAACAAGTGCCAAAACCTGCAGTTTGCCTCGGATTTCAGCCATAACTTCTTTGCTATTAGTCGGATCTTTTTACATGTGATCTCATTTTGTAGGTCTCGTAAATACCTAAAAATTTTATATGAAGAGTTTTTTCGATCCTGCCAACACTTTCGATTGAATCCCAAAAAACACGTTTTCTCATTCTTTGTTGTCGAATAAAAAATTGACGTACTCATTTAATGCGTGTTTTAAATACCCCCTTGAACAACTTGCATTAATAAAACCAGACTTTAAAATTATTTCGCAAACCAGTGATATTTTCGTCTAATATGACTAGTAACTGTTACATCAAACAGATTCGAACCAAATAACTGCAATGGTCAATTATACCAGTCATACCATGTCAGTTCACTCTGAACAGAAAAGTTTCAGAGAAAAAGAATACTTACAATGACAGTTTATGTTGAACATTTTTATCGAACAATGCAAATATAACAATGAAAGGTGAAATTATTTTCTAAACATAAATATTATGCAAACAAAAAAGCTCTTGCGATTCATTGCATACAATCTGGGTGTTTCTCCGTCTATCTCCGGCAAAAAAATAATTTAATAGACTTTGTTTCTCTTAACGTTTTCGAGATTCCACCCCGCAAATATGCAGTTAATCTAAAAGGTTAATAAACTTCTTTCATTGCCTTTTTGATTATCGCCATCGCTCATTGATCCAGCATAAAAAAGAAATTATTAAAAAAAACCAACAAAGGTGTTCCTCGTATGTTCTTATTTTAAGTGAAAAATGTATTTTTACAGATGGTGCGATGAAACACTGTGACGTAAAGTACTATATAAAAACCTTTTCCAAACATGTATAAAAATTGTCTAATTTTACTGAGTATCATTTTCACCAAATGGTGTCTTTTATAGAGATTATACTTTGTCTAATAGTCAGTCTTGTACACAGAAATGTTAGGTATATTTTTTTTGTTAAACAAACAGGTACATTTATAGAGATCTTTGCCTAACAGACATATAGTCAAGTATGGAAAGTCTAACAATTATTTTTGACGAGTCATTCTATATGATACATTACAAATTTTGAAGCATATCACGTAATATCGTGTTTTTCTTAATCAACAAGAAAATTGTCACTGCATTTAATAAAGAACTTTACTGTCGATCGGCTGGCAAATCTTTTCCACTGATATATAGACATCGAATAACTCCTGAATTTTACATTAGAAGATTAAATTTTACTTTCATAGCTGAAACGTCGGTAAAGTTCACTGTTCAATATACATTGTTTAGGAAAAACGCGATTTTGTAAAGTAAGAAATCAGCACAAGTTATTCTGATGAGCCCCACTACCTGTTCACCAAAATTTTGAAAATGAATTTATTTTTGTGTTCAGCATATCTATTGCATATCTATCTTTTGTACCTTAGACTATGATTCCAAGCCTCTGCAAATCCTTCAAAATAGGCAGTGGTCTAGCAGGCCAATGTTCAACACTTTTCAACGCCGTACTATCATTCTGTATCCGCTCAAATTCCAAAATATAAGGGTATATCCTCTGTTCAATCCATTCCGATATCGTGTAGTTATCAAAAACACCGGCCATCGAATCTGCAGCGATCTTGGCCAACGAAATCGCGGCATGGTATAATCTAGGCATATCAGTTGTCAGTTCGTCCACTCTCAGTGGCAAACTGTAGTTATGACGGATATTGTATGAGGTCATCCAACCTTTCTGCCGGTTGATGACGTCCAGGAACTCTCTGGATTCGGTTTCCATGTTGTGTAGGCGATTCATCAGTCTGGAAGTAGGATCAAAATATGTGCTTGAATGGAAACAAATAAGCTACAGTTTTTTACATATTCTATGGCAAAAATTAAATCCTGTAGACATAGTGATATCTGTTAATAATATAACGCAAGCAAAACAATGATGTTTATAGTTATTCATGTAGAAGACATATCATTAGTAAAATTGGACAATGAAGTGGAACTAACATTAAGAGAAGAGTATGAAATATGAGTTGGCAGAATAATTGGACCTAAAATAAAAATAATTGTTTCCGAGGCGTAATTGAATAATGAAGAATCTGTGTCTAAATTTAGAACAGTCTAATAAAGAAAACGAGTACTTGCTCGATAAAAACAGTCTATATATTTGGGATGGATTAATCATAAATTCCACAAATTTTTTAGTGTTCTTTGATGTAATAAATGTTGGCGATTTGGACATTGGGTTGAGAAATGCAATTTTGTTATAGTATGTCCATACTGCAGTCAAAATCGCATGAAGGAAGCATGTAAGGCTGAAAAGCATACCTGTAGTAATTGTAAATATGCATACAAAAAATTTAATGATCCCAAATGTTTCCATGATGTATTTGACAAAAACGGTCCAAGATGCTTCAATCAAATAAACAAGCTACAGAAAAAACATGGTCATGAAAAATAGCAGAAAAACTTATTTTTGTTGAAGTATTAAGGAATTAAGGATGTTATATTTTAGATCCAAGTTAATTGTAATTTTTGTTGTGTAGGGGAGAAGTTTCTAGATCGCAACGTTGTCATATGGGTGGGAACTATGGACTAATTACATGGACCTGTTTGACTAACATGATCCATTTGATTTTTTTTGTTATACATTTTCGAAGTAAATGTATATAATTCTATTAACGAACTTAATTTTCTTCCTTTAGTTTTCCATGCTTTTGTTTTGAAGTTTTTGGTATGTATGACAGATTGGGTATTATGAATTCTGCGAAACAACTGATTACTCACCTAAAAACAGCGTTTCCGGGGAAAATACACCGAGCTAACTTCTCCCACATGAAAGGATCGGAATCCAAGTTGATGAAAGGTGCGATATTTTGCTCGGGGCAGTTTAGAGCCATGAGAAACTTGTTCTTCAACGAAGAGTTGAAGTATCCATTTGAGACCGCAATCAGGTTGAGAGCTAATGACGGTATTGCAGAAGGAAGCAGTTCGCAGAGAACCGCAAAGTGATCGTAACGTTGCCAACCTGTCAGCACCATACCTCTGAAATAAATGTAGAATAGACCTTAATGTAGAAGCAACAACTTAGTTTTTTCTACGTTTCTGTTTCGCTCTATAAATCTTCATGCTGGTGGGAAAAGTCTAAGAAACCACCGTACACGTGCGGAAAGCTAAAGCTTTGAGAGATAACTCAGAATATAGCAGAATTCATATGGGTTATGACAGAACTCCAAGGCAAACTGAAAGTTTCAACTATATGTAGATTAATTCAGCGGCCAGACAATGGAGTCCAACCATATGTCATAGTGAACAAAATTTTAACTCACCTCATACCATCTTTGAATGAAGAAGCTTGTGTATCCATAACCTCTAGCCATCTAAGGTTGTTCTCCAAGTGTCTGCGAGCATTTGGGATATAAAGACTCTCGCCAAATGCTCCTTTAAAGGCTGATGCAGTCCATGCAGTCCTGAAGACAGCTGCATATTTCTCCCAAACACTCGGTTGGACAAAGCGGTAGATGTCTTCAGCATAGACCCAAACCTTTAGAAACCTTTTATTATCAAAATTGGACAAGTTAAAATAATTAAATTAATAAAGATTTGAGTTAAACGGAATACTCAGTTTTCCCTCTTTAGGTCATTATTATTCTTTAAATTTTTAAATCATAAAGAACGCTGGATAGGGTTATACATTTTGCATAAACGTAGCTAAACACTGAAGTGGATAACGTGTGAAAAATTCCAATTGCTGTGTCAGACATTTTCTGGTTGTGTACTTTCTCGTTTGGGTGATTAGAATTGGCCCCCTAGATCATGTGATTTAACACGATTAAAGATTCTTTTTATCGGGTCATTTGATAACAAAGCAACAAGCCTACATATAGCCACATTTTTGCAAAGTGGTCATGAAAATTTTCAACAAAATGTGTATAATACCTACGCCAGCAAAGCCTAGGAAGTCATTTACCTTGAGCAATTTTTCCCAGTAGCATATACGTACACTTAAGTTTTAAGAGACATTCAGCTCCGCAAAATCAACCAACTTAATCGGCTCCTGTGACTCGATTAAATTAAAACTCAACCCAGATGGGTTCGAAAAAAACAATGGAATACCTGGACAGCAATATTGAACTTGCCGCACTCCAGTGTCTTCAAAATGCTACCGAGGCTTCGCGAGTCTACGCAGATCGTTTTCCCAGACGTAATTATCTAACTGATACAAAAAGCTGAGGATTTTAAACAACAGTGCGTTTTTATGAGTGGTTGTTGAACAAACATGAAAATAATCCGGAGACCATATTAATCACGGACGAATCAACCTTCTCACGAAACGGGGCGAATAATAACTTCCGAAATATTCATTATCCTTGAACGTTTGGGTTTACATGGTGAACGGTATGCTCATTGAACCTTTTATTCCCCCAAATCGGCTAGACTGTTTACAATACCTAAACTTTTTACAAAACATTCAACCAACACTGCTAGAAGATGTGCCAAAAGTGTAACAGAATCAGTGTGGTTTTTCCATGATGGTGCACTGCCCCATTTTAGATGCGAAATGCGTGATTACTTATAGCATGGCCTCTGCGATCTCCAAATTTAACACCTTGTGATTTCTTTCTTTGAGGCGAAATGATAGGCTTAGATTTAAACACAGTTGATGAACTACATATGAGAATTGAGCAAGCTGCTGCATTCATTTGTGATTTTGAATCTAATGTTGACAACTATAGACAGTACTTATAAGTGACAGAGCCGTATTTGAAATTTCTCTGCAAATAAATGGTGAGTACTCTTTCATTTATTTTTGTTTACTTTTTGCTACTATTCCACCATGGGTTGTTATTTTAAGCATAGTTATTTCTGAAAAGTCCTACATTTCAGGACACTCTGTACACATAACTTTAAGACTAGATAAAAGAATACCTAAAGAAAAAAGAGGGTTTCTGTTTAACTGAAAATCTTGCCTGAAATTTGGTGTATGCTTTATATGTTTGGAAAGTAACGAAACTGCCACATACCATGGGTTCCACAAGGCTTCCAAGGTGCATATCCTGCATAGCACCTTGTGGTATATGCCTTAGCATGTCATCCCATACAATGACCTTTAGTGGAGGGTATTTGCTATGAATCATCTGCACAACATTTTTGATGTGTCTCAAAAACAGATTGTCATGCACTTCTAAGCGGCATATGTCACACTCTCCCATTTGGAATACTTCATCACAGCCTATGTGGAGATATTTTGAGCTTGGATGCAATGCCATCACCTAAAAGAATTGAAGAAAGAATGATTACAAGGAATACAAGTTTTCAAAAATATGTGATCTCACTCTGCTTCTAGTAGATGTATGAGGGATACAGTATCACTGATTATAACTTTGGATTTGACCTTGACTTTAAAGATCAACCTAAGGTAAGGCCATCTTTCCTTGAACTAAAAACCATTTTTTGTACCTGATTAACAATTTCTTGTATGAAATTCATTGAGCTGCTTCTGCTAGGACACAATGCTTGTGGACTACCAGGCACTTCCCTGAGATTTGCAAATTCTAAATGTTTCAGGGCAAATTCCACATGTCCAAAGGTCTGTATTAACGGTATGACCTCTAGTTTTGCATTTTCTGCCATTGACAATATCTCTTTCACCTGTTCCACAGTAAATGCATTGTTAGCTGATAGGTTTTTAAGAGTATCTTGGTATGGAAACATATCTTCATACTCTGGAAAAAGTTACAAGTTTTTTACATCCATTATCAGAAGTGGGATATCTATCAAATTCTCATACCTAAGAGTAGTCCAGTAGCTCCCATGACTTTGAATAAAGGAATAAGCCTTTTCAAGTACGGTATCTGTACTGGAGCTCCTTTGAAGTCCAAGTGCACAATCCTCCTCTCTGGTATATAAGGTTTCTGAGAGTCCAAATTAACAAATGGAACCCCCAACTGCTGCTCATTCTCAATATCAGCAAACTGCTCAGCCAAGCTAGATTCTCTTCGTTTCATCATAGAGTTATCCTGTCTTACATCTGATTGGTCTTTCTCAACAAATTTTACATTCTTTATGCTCTTCATTAAAGCATCTGCAATAACCTGCGCATCTCTTTCTTCCTCGATAAAGTAAGTGTTCTCATCTATCCGTGAATATTGTAGGGCAAATATAAGTAGAATCAAGATGCACGTGAGAACAAGAACACTCGTCTTTTTTCTCCATGCTGTTAAGCTTACTCTTTGGACATAGTTATTCATTGTAAAAAATTGAAAAAGGCCTTCAGATTGTCTAGTTCCATTAATTCATATTCAAAGCTGTTTGTGTTTGTAACATACCTACTAGGCAAGAGTGGCAATAAGAATCATACAAATCTGGTTTCATAAATGGGTTTTACATGACTGTTTACAAACACTTCCTCTCATTTCCTCCAAAATCCAAAACACCTCAAAAACAATGGAACATCAACACGACATCAACACACCAATGAAGTATTGACAAAATAGGCGACGTCCACGTATATGCAACCAGCGTGACAGATTGATACGAGAAGAGACGAAGAGAGGTGGAAGAGAGCGACTGTGGACATCAGTGGAGTGAGGTTAGGTTCGGTGAACTATAAACAAGGACAAATAAATTGCACACTTTTTTGTAATTAGAAGAGGTTTTCCGCTATCTGATCAAAATGATGAACAATATGAATATAAACATGATGCATGCACAGCAACAGCCGAATCCCCAACAGCTCCAACAACAGCAATTGCAGCAACAACAAATGCAGCAGCAGGCACAACAACAACAACAACAGCAGCAACAACAACAGCAGCAGCAGCAGCAACAACAACAGCAGTCACCTTTAGACAATATTTCTAAAGTCAAATCACTGGTTGGTCCATTGAGAGAATCGTTATCGGTAAGCAAGATCTTTATTTACCCACAATTTGTTTTACTGAGTGGCAGTATGCAGCTAAATTTCATTATTTTAGTACATGTAGGAAATCGAAATGTTTACCAGTGTCTCAAAAGGTTGTTTTATGTCTAGAGCACTGTCTAGCAGATTTTGTGGTAGAAAGGATTCATTTATTCACTGGTATTAAAGTACTCGTATTTACTGATCATTCAGTCAGTGGATCTCCACATTTCCTTAAACATAAATACTTACTGAAGTCCTAGCTACATAATGAATGAATATCACATTCCTTGGTAAATACTACTACATTTTACTATGTTGGACTGGGTAGATGCCTTTTCCCCTTTGAAAGGTTTTTACCTTATTATTGTCTGAAAAATATGTCAGTATCACAGTGCACAAGTGAAACACTCAGAAAACCTAATATGTATTTAGAAGTACTGAGTACACTGTTTTTGCATGGTACTCAGTCTGTTTACAAGAGACACAACTTGTGCAAATAAAGGAGTTGCACGTCTTTTTTTGACCCTTGTAATTATTATCTTTATTATTAACTTATATAGTTTGGTGAAGAGCTCCTCTGTTGTTATTTTGTTTGTTGGGCTAGTAGTTTTAATACTTTCATCAGCTTGTCTGTTTACTAGTCCTTTTTGCAGGAAATTGATGTTGTTTCTTCATTTTTAAATTTTTGTCTCTTTCTATTCATTTTACTCTGCAAATAAACACTATTACTATTATTATTTGCAAAGGTTGAGCTTATATGCCTTTTCAAAACCTTCCTGATATGTCCTCCTTATCAAATAAATGCCTACAGTTGTAGCATATATTTGCCAGAGTAAGCAATACAATTTTATAAAAAATATGGTAATTCCATGGAGCAGGTACCATATCAGTTTAAACTGAAACCACATTAAGTTTAGCCTTTTTGTATTTTTTATCTGCTCTTCTGTCTTTCATATGAACACTAAAAGGCAACAAAAATAAAAAAAAACAAATTATAGCAAAAGTCGAAAAGTAACCTATATAAGAGGTATTTCTAGTTTTTGCAAAGTAAACTTTCAATCATAATGTTAACTTAGTTTTGGTTTAGTCCATCATACATCTGAATTACTCCCACTACAACCCCAGTTGTATGAGTAGCTTGGTGGCTGTGTTGCCCACCTTCACGAAAAATGTAGGTAATAAGAAATTGAGTATTAATTATTGAATGTCTTACCAGTGTGCTTTTTTGTAATAGGAATGATTGAAAGGTAAATCAAAACAAATGTTTAAAAAATGAAATGCCAAAATATGGTTTCAATTGTAGCTGTATTCTATTCAGTGTCACAGTGAAAAAATATACCAAGCAAGGCTATTAGATATTAAAGAAAAAACAATGAAAATATTGTTAACCCACAAATGATAATGCTTCAAGCACAAAAAATTGTCTAAGCTGCACAACTGTTTTTTGTGGGTATTTCTTAGAAAAGTAAATGAATGCTGATAATAAAAGGATTTTTTAGAAACGCATATATAAAATTAACATGATGAAATTCTCGTGTTTTTATTCCAGAATACTATCAAGACAGCAGCACAAACACTGAATCAGAATAGCCAAATTGACATTGGATCACAGTAAGTCACTTTGTCAAAATATTTCATATTTTTTTTATTGATTGTATTGATGTATTAAATTACTATTTTTTAGGGGTCAGTCGCTCCTACAAATGTAGGACAACTTTATGGCCTCCTTGATTTTCATAGCTTTTTCTCTCCTTCAGAAAGGCTGGGGTATGTCAAGATTTCTACTGTTAGTCCCGTGTCACCGTCAGCGTTCTCATATTGTGAGGTTATGTTTTCTTTTTGAATCGTAAAAAAATAGGGCTGATAAAACAGATGATAAAAATCAACAGCATGAACAGTTTCATGCTAACAGATATTTGTAACATAACCTCAAAATAGAACGCTGACACTGAACAGGAAAAACTGTGACAATCAAGGAGGCCATAAAGGCGTCCTACAATATTTTAGGAACGACTGACGATACGCATAATTTTGAATTTTAGGAAAGGAATGGAAATGCAAATACCTAGGTTTGATAAGAATTTGGAAGAATTCTATACCATATGTGACCAAATAGAACTTAATTTGGTAATTATCTTTTCACATTTTACTTTATTTTGAAAAACCAATATGTATTTGATTAGCAATGGAAAAAGATATTGTTCTGTGGAAGAGGGAATGTAACTGTTTTGGAGGTTCTTATGATATCTCTCTTATTTTTTAGAAAACGTCGATCAAGTGCTTGACCCAGCAGGAGAGCAGCACCAGATATCTGAACTTGCCTGTTGCCCCCACAAAGACTGAGAGCATAGGACTTAATGATAACACCTTGACATACCCTCAGTTCCTAGCTACTGCAGGCGCGCAAGTGGCTTACACAAAGGAGATTCATGATACCCTGGTCGCTGCGGCTCAAAATATTTCCCCTTCTGATTGATACTCTCAACAGTATTAATGTATGATTGATACCTTAGTTAACATTTAACAAATAGATGATCTACTGGAGAACCAATGTTGTGATGCGTGGTTCGCGAACGATTCTTATGACTGAACTAAGTGCACTAGTTCATCTTTCGTCGAAAAACAAGTTACTCGGTCAGCATGAAAGGCTAGTATTACAAGAGACGGGGAACACTACCGTAGGCAACCAAGTAAGCAGACGGTTGTATAACTGTTTGCCTGTATAGATAGATAGATAGACAGATACATTTATTGTCTTGTAGATCATAAAAAATGACATGACTCGTCCTAAGAGGGAGGTACATAGTACACATAATTAAAAATAAAAACGAAACAAACATAAGTATTTACAAAGTACAAACAGGGACAACTTAATGCGTACATTCACATATAAAAAAAGTTTAAAAAAAATATATCATAGTGCGAGGTATTCAGACAAAGAATAGAAACATTTTTCAACTAATAATTTGCGTAGTTTACATTTAAAACTAGGAATACTACTGACATTCCTGAGGTTAGCTGAAAGTTTGTTATATATTCTGATGCAGGTGTATTCCGGTGACTTTTCGAACAGCGTCAGTATGTGTTTTGGAATACTCAGACTCTCACCTGCCCTTGTATTATAATGTGTGTTGATGTTTCTGTTCTGTATAAATTTTGTTTTGTTTGTATGTGCGAAAAGGGCGCACTTATAAATATGAATGCTTGGTAGAGTCATGATGTTTTTACTTCTGAAGATATCTCTGCAGGATTCTCTTCTACGAATGTTGAATATCAGTCTGATTATTCTCTTCTGTTGAACAAATGCTCTAGAAATTGAAGTTGCTTGTCCCCAAATTATGATGTTCCTTGATAAATGTGAGTGGACGAGAGCATAATATACATCTAGTAAAGCCAGTGGCGGCTCTACCATAAGGCCGCATGGCCGCGCGCCCCCCCAGATAAAATGCCGTTAAAAAAGCATTGAATAAAACCATTTTTATTTTTTTTTCTAATTAGCTAACATTTTATTGAACATATTATATATTAAACGTCACCCTAATTATTTTGTAAGAAATCAGTCGATTTTATCCTTATTTGTCCGGACTATACGGGCCGCATCGAACCTCGCGGCCGTACGTCGGTGTTTTCGAGCGCTTTCGATACGACTCGGTTAGAGTCGGGGTACAGTATTAATAGCTATGCTAGGGCGCATTATTTTTGCGGCCTCGCTGCGTCTCGCATAGCTAGCTCCATTTGTTTTGTTGTTTACTATTGAATACTGATTACGCGCTGCATTTTTAGTGTCGGGTTTTGTTTTATTGCAGAATAGAGTAGCAAATGACAATGAATAGTGTCAGTAACATTTTAAAAAATGATTTTACGCGTCTGTCCCTTCAGAATAAATTAGAAATTAAGCAATTGGGCAGACCTTTGCCGGATTTAAAGTTAACGCAAGTGAGTGAACGGAAGGCAGAAAAAAGAAGTTTTACCCGTCATTTTTCTAAAGATACATATAAAAAAAATAATTGGATATGTGGATGTGAGGAGACAAATTTATTGTACTGTTTCCCCTGTTTATTATTTTATAATGCCGCGTCAGGTATGGACTCTAGTTGGTCAAGGACGGGAATCAAAGACCTGCATCATCTTCCTGAAAAGATTAGAAAGCATGAAGCTTCCCGAGGACACATTAATTCGTGCACGGCGCTTGCAGTTCTTGGTAAGACAAATATAGCATCACAAATAAGTTCTGCTTATAGACAAAGTATAGTTGAACATAATGAAAAAGTGAGAAAAAATCGGCACATTTTGAAACGGATTATAAGCTGTGTCAAATTTTGCAGTGCCTTTGAATTGGCACTTAGAGGTCACAATGAGACTGAAGAGTCTTTGAATCGAGGAATATTTAGAGAATTAGTTGATTTTACCGCTGAGTTAGATGAGGCCCTTAAAAATCATTTACAAAATGCCACGGTATTCAAGGGAACTTCTAAAAGCATTCAAAATGACATATTAGATAGCATGCTACAAGTTTGTAGAGAAGAAATTTTGCAGCAAATTAAAAACGCAAATTTCCTGTCAATTCAATGCGATGAAACGACCGACATATCAAATCAGTGCCAAATGGTTTTAATATTCAGATATTTCCACGAAGGCGGCATACAAGAACTTTTTTGGAGTTTTTTGAGAGTTAAAGATAAGACATCAGTAGGTTTAAAAACTTGCATAGAAAATGAAATTGATCCGTTTCTTTTACAAAGTCCTGAAAAGTTGATAGCACAAACATATGATGGTGCGAATGTCATGAGTGGTTCTGTCGGTGGGGTTCAAGTTCACATTAAAGAAAAATATCCTAATGCACATTTCATACATTGTTATGCCCATCAGCTAAACCTTATTATGCAAAAAAGTGCATCACAAAATTCAAAAGTACGTGTGTTTTTTAATAATTTGTCGGCCATACCAGCTTTTTTTTCGAACTCTACCCATCGATGTGATGTTTTAGAAGAAATTATAAATAAGAAAATCCCCAGAGTAGCTGCTACTAGATGGAACTATAACATTCGTACAGTTAACTTTGTCTATGAACATCGTGAGAAGCTCATAGAGGTGTTTGAAGAAATAGAAGAGAGATGTAATAGAGGTGTTACTTTAAATGAAGCTTCAAGTTTGAGAAGAGCGTTAGAAGATCAAGAATTCTTGTTTTGGTTGACAGTATTCCATAAAATATTTCCGCATGTTGACATCCTTTATAATCAGCTGCAGTCAAGAAATGAAGATAGTGTTCAATTACAAAAGGACTTAGTAATTTTTGAAAAGAGTATCGACAATATAAGAGGTCAAATTGATGATATTAAAAAATATACCGAAACAAAGTTTGAATCTAATAAAAGAAGAAGAACTGACGACGGTATACGAGGGGTCATTGCCAAAGAAGTGTGCGACATAATAACAATGCAAGTAAAAGATAGATTTTCCTTTCGAGGTCATTTACAGGCAGCCGAATTGTTCAATACAGAGGCATATTTGAAATATTCCCGAAATTTCCCTTCTGCTATTTTGGATGCCGTAGCTACTTTTTATCCAATGTTGTGTAAAGCCAGACTGAAAACGGAATTAGAAGTTATATACTCCAGGGAAGACTTAAAGGAAATCGTTGGTGCTATGAATTTATTGTCTTTTCTTGTTACGAACAATCTTTGCGATACATTTGTGGAAGTTATAAAATTGTTAAAAATCATTGTGACAACCCCAGTGACCACAGCAGAATCAGAACGTTGTTTTTCAACTCTTAAACGCATAAAGACATTTTTAAGAAACAGTATGCGAAATGATCGACTAAATGCTCTAGCTATGTTGTCAATAAACAGAAACTTGACTCATGAAATAGATAGTTTTGATGAAAAAGTTATGGAAAAATTTATATCTCTAAAAGATCGTAGAGCCGATTTTGTTTTTAAACAATGATTGTTTTTAAATTTACTGTATTATAAACAGAAGCTTATTTTGTGTTATGTGCATGTATTATCATTTCTTTCATCTTTGCTGTTTTTTTTAAGGTAAGATATTTTAATGCATTGTATTATTTTACAAGCATAATATTAGTATTTTTATATTTTGCCATTTCAGTATTATGTATATTTATGACGCTAGCTCTAAACGACTAACAGTTGATTTTTTGATTTGAAGCGTTTTATGTCAATAAAATATTGCAAAATTGCATGTAAAATTTTTTGAATTAGATTTTGCGCCCCCCAAACTCAAATACCACGAGCCGCCACTGAGTAAAGCTGACTCTGATAAGCAAAACTTGATCTTAAGAATCGCATAATATGATTGGTTCAACTTTTTACACACACTGTCCATGTGTTGTTGCCAACTGAGCTGTGCATCCATTTCTATTCCCAAGAATGTCGTAGTTTTCGATGTCTCATGATTTGCTAGAATAGGGGCGTTATACAATCATGGTTCAAGGATATCGAGCAGGACAAAATTAAGTGAGAAAGATAATAACAAATGCTGTTAGTTACAAAGGCTGAAAGAAATGAAAATTAGCTAACTTTTAGACACCATCACGTAACAAGCTAAATATCAATACTAGAGTGAAAATGTTAATTGACTACAAATTTCCATTTGAAATCATTGTTTTTTAACTTTATCGGCTTCTGATCTGTATCTTAGCTTTCGTCTGCTATCCTAAAATAGAGGACCATTCTCCTGAACTCCAAATCAAAGGTTATCATTAAAAATCTTTCGAAATAGCGAAAAAACAAAAAACAGTTCCTCACATTATTTGAGATTGCTAGAAAATGTATATCTCATAGCTACGTCTACTATGTAAGCGACAGTTTAAACTATTTTAACAAAAACAAAAAAATGGAATACAAAAAATCATTAATACGGGGAGTTCCATCGAAATACTCCGCGCCCGACTCTGCTTAACCCTGTAAGGTTCACTCCTATTATTTTTTAAGTTAAAATTCGTAAATTTTCACTGGCTATAAAAAATCACTGTAGGAACAAGTTTAGATCCATATATTGAAGTCATTGTTATTAGAAAGTGTACTTTGCAATTGTTGCCAAATGTCAACATTGACCGTTACGGTCTATAAGCGGATTAAAAATATAATTGTAACAAAACACATTAAAAATTGCAATAATATTTTATTACAAAAAAAATCAAAGTATTTCCATCAAAAACGAAAAACAATATATTCCGTATAAAAAATATACAAGGTGAGACAAATGTGAAAATTATAACATAAAGGAATCTATCTCACAGATGAAAATGAACAAAACAATTATTTTTATCATTTAGGCATAGCCGACACATACATTTTCGGCACATTATTCGAGAAAATCCCGTAGTGCACATTCGGCATCTTCCCTTTGTCGTATGAACTGGCCAATGACCAACAGTATCCTTTCTGGTAACATCTGAAGGTCTTGGAACGACTGGGTGTATTATTATTGAATTGGACTTAGGTGATGATACCGGCCTTCCAGGTTTCGGTTTCCCAGTGGTGGACAAGCCCTTTGCAATATCACATCTAAATTCTTTTAGGGGCATACACTTCTTTTCATTTTTATTGTTCTCTTTGTATAGTAACCATGCGTTGACTATACACATGTCGATGATATAGGCGAAAATCGGGAAGTACCACCGCTTAGCACGACCAGGAGTTCTGTAAAGCCCGACCAGCGAATTTGACTTATCAACACCTCCCATATGCCTGTTGTACTCCATAATAATGGATGGACAAGGTATATTCGTTTTACCTTTTTTTTCTTTGCAATATCGACGAAGCGTATTTTCAGGGGATACACCATGAATTGTACTTCCAATCAAAACACATTTATTGTCAGCCCATTTGACAATTATGCATTCCCTGTTTGTGGACTTGTAGTCATACTTTCCTCTGCCTTTTTTTAGCAATTCCTTATCAGATATCAGCTGGCAGCCATTTAGTCTATTGTTCCGAAGAGTTCCTAAGCTATAAATGTTGAATCTGTGCTTTAGATATAAAAATAAGTTCACACTCGAAAAATAATTGTCAAATTACACAATGCTGTGAGCTGGGTTTTGGATGGTTTTAGTGAGAGCAATAACTACGCTACTACCAACTCCCATAGCCAGTTCATTTTCTGCTAACTGCATGGCAGTGCCATCTAATAAAGAAAAAGTATTTTTCCCTTGATATGGAATAAAAGAGTAAATCAATCCCGATACTCCAGCTCTCATGAAGAATTTGTAACCCCATTTGTGTGGTTTGTTTTTCATATATTGACGAAGGTTACCTGCCCGTGTACCTTTGTACGGTACCATTGTCTCATCAATGGAGAAACGATTTTCTATCTCAAACTTAGAGCAGTTTCTGTTGACTATGTCCAAGAGCGGTCTAATTTTATAAAACCTATCTTGAGAACTGCCAACTAAAGAATTATCATTGAAGTGTATATATCTGCGTAATTGTTTGAATCTCCTTAGTGACATAACATTCGCTATAGATTCAATTCTTAGAGTAGCCGACCAATAATCTTTGTAACTAGGAAGAGAAATGACGCCCATAGATAAGGATAGCAATAAAATTAGTAACTTCTTTGTTATCTGTATCTAGACTTTTCCCAGTCATTTGAGTACAATACAAATTTGATTCCTTCAATGCATTCATATGAGAAAAACTCTAAAAAGTACTGTAATGGATAATGATAATTATCATCTCCAAAGTTTACATCTGACGTAGGTTTTTCAAAATTAGGTAAATCTTCCTCTACCCAATTATATACGACATCAGCCTTTTGGATCCTTCGATTGCTCTTCTTCCTTCTTTTAGAAGCTATTGGTTTTATTTCTTCGTCATCTGACTCATCCGAGGAGCTACTGTTATTCTGAATAACTTCAACTGTAGACCTACTTGAGCAAGGCAACGGATTTACATCATCTGCATCATTACTTCCGAGGCGTAACACATCATCTTCCAAATTTTCATTATCGGAATCACTTTTATCTGAAATATCGGATATTTCTAGATTAGCCGGCAATACAGGTATAAAGTCTGTCTTCTTTTTGTAAAAACACCTCGCCGAAATGGTTTTTAGATTTTCGAAAGGATCCATTTTTCAAGCTGCAACGAAACAAAAATGGATAAAACAGTATCTTACATTGGCTCAACCATGAAGGTTCAATGTTGACATATGGCTACAATCGTTTTCAAACTTCATTTTCTATACTCTCCTATGCTACGTTGGATAATCTTACCATGTATTATGTGTTTTGGACATGTACAACCAATATTATATCATACTAATGTATTTTATGAAAATTTACCTACCTAATTATCTCTCAAACACGCCAGTGCAACGACGCCGGCGAAACGAACTGAACAGCTGCCGGTTGACATATTAAAAAATTATTTCTCGATTTCGCTAATAGATGGCGGATGGTAACTGCGCCTAACTTGAGGCTGTTTCCACATGTCTACATCGAGCAATAGAGTGTACAAGGGATAGAAAACGTTAGAAGATACCTAAAAGATCGTTGTAGACATATGGCTACAAGGTGTCTTACAGGGTTAACGCGTTTTCACTGGTATGATAACATAGTGTGGTATTGTTAGTAAAATAGTTCATTTGCAAAAGAGTTCAAGGAACTAGGGAATGTCTGGAATATGCTTTAGAGTTTATGTTGTCAGTGAAATCGTCTAACACCACAATTATCTGCAAACACTCGCATTTTTAAAAAATAACATTAAACATAAGAATTTAATGACATAACTGTAAAAATTCATTTATATTAAGTGCACCTTGATCCTAACATACTATGAAAACTATTAGACAAATCCTTGACTGGCTCCTTCTAACGAGTCCGAATTCGTTGGGCCACAGCGCCATCTAACAGTAAATACTGATCGCATGACATTGGAAATTCACCTATAAGCATCCAGTGGATCACCCTCTATATCAGTGGCGGCTCGTGGTATTTGAGTTTGGGGGGCGCAAAATCTAATTCAAAAAATTTTACATGCAATTTGGCAATATTTTATTGACATAAAACGCTTCAAATCAAAAAATCAACTGTTAGTCGTTTAGAGCTAGCGTCATAAATATACATAATACTGAAATGGCAAAATATAAAAATACTAATATTATGCTTGTAAAATAATACAATGCATTAAAATATCTTACCTTAAAAAAAAACAGCAAAGATGAAAGAAATGATAATACATGCACATAACACAAAATAAGCTTCTGTTTATAATACAGTAAATTTAAAAACAATCATTGTTTAAAAACAAAATCGGCTCTACGATCTTTTAGAGATATAAATTTTTCCATAACTTTTTCATCAAAACTATGTATTTCATGAGTCAAGTTTCTGTTTATTGACAACATAGCTAGAGCATTTAGTCGATCATTTCGCATACTGTTTCTTAAAAATGTCTTTATGCGTTTAAGAGTTGAAAAACAACGTTCTGATTCTGCTGTGGTCACTGGGGTAGTCACAATGATTTTTAACAATTTTATAACTTCCACAAATGTATCGCAAAGATTGTTCGTAACAAGAAAAGACAATAAATTCATAGCACCAACGATTTCCTTTAAGTCTTCCCTGGAGTATATAACTTCTAATTCCGTTTTCAGTCTGGCTTTACACAACATTGGATAAAAAGTAGCTACGGCATCCAAAATAGCAGAAGGGAAATTCCGGGAATATTTCAAATATGCCTCTGTATTAAACAATTCGGCTGCCTGTAAATGACCTCGAAAGGAAAATCTATCTTTTACTTGCATTGTTATTATGTCGCAGACTTCTTTGGCAATGACCCCTCGTATACTGTCGTCAGTTCTTCTTCTTTTATTAGATTCAAACTTTGTTTCGGTGTATTTTTTAATATCATCAATTTGACCTCTTATATTGTCGATACTCTTTTCAAAAATTACTAAGTCCTTTTGTAATTGAACACTATCTTGATTTCTTGACTGCAGCTGGTTATAAAGGATGTCAACATGCGGAAATATTTTATGGAATACTGTCAACCAAAACAAGAATTCTTGATCTTCTAACGCTCTTCTCAAACTTGAAGCTTCATTTAAAGTAACACCTCTATTACATCTCTCTTCTATTTCTTCAAACACCTCTATGAGCTTCTCACGATGTTCATAGACAAAGTTAACTGTACGAATGTTATAGTTCCATCTAGTAGCAGCTACTCTGGGGATTTTCTTATTTATAATTTCTTCTAAAACATCACATCGATGGGTAGAGTTCGAAAAAAAAGCTGGTATGGCCGACAAATTATTAAAAAACACACGTACTTTTGAATTTTGTGATGCACTTTTTTGCATAATAAGGTTTAGCTGATGGGCATAACAATGTATGAAATGTGCATTAGGATATTTTTCTTTAATGTGAACTTGAACCCCACCGACAGAACCACTCATGACATTCGTACCATCATATGTTTGTGCTATCAACTTTTCAGGACTTTGTAAAAGAAACGGATCAATTTCATTTTCTATGCAAGTTTTTAAACCTACTGATGTCTTATCTTTAACTCTCAAAAAACTCCAAAAAAGTTCTTGTATGCCGCCTTCGTGGAAATATCTGAATATTAAAACCATTTGGCACTGATTTGATATGTCGGTCGTTTCATCGCATTGAATTGACAGGAAATTTGCGTTTTTAATTTGCTGCAAAATTTCTTCTCTACAAACTTGTAGCATGCTATCTAATATGTCATTTTGAATGCTTGTAGAAGTTCCCTTGAATACCGTGGCATTTTGTAAATGATTTTTAAGGGCCTCATCTAACTCAGCGGTAAAATCAACTAATTCTCTAAATATTCCTCGATTCAAAGATTCTTCAGTCTCATTGTGACCTCTAAGTGCCAATTCAAAGGCACTGCAAAATTTGACACAGCTTATAATCCGTTTCAAAATGTGCCGATTTTTTCTCACTTTTTCATTATGTTCAACTATACTTTGTCTATAAGCAGAACTTATTTGTGATGCTATATTTGCCTTACCAAGAACTGCAAGCGCCGTGCACGAATTAATGTGTCCTCTGGAAGCTTCATGCTTTCTAATCTTTTCAGGAAGATGATGCAGGTCTTTGATTCCCGTCCTTGACCAACTAGAGTCCATACCTGACGCGGCATTATAAAATAATAAACAGGGGAAACAGTACAATAAATTTGTCTCCTCACATCCACATATCCAATTATTTTTTTTATATGTATCTTTAGAAAAATGACGGGTAAAACTTCTTTTTTCTGCCTTCCGTTCACTCACTTGCATTAACTTTAAATCCGGCAAAGGTCTGCCCAATTGCTTAATTTCTGATTTATTCTGAAGGGACAGACGCGTAAAATCATTTTTTAAAATGTTACTGACACTATTCATTGTCATTTGCTACTTTATTCTGCAATAAAACAAAACCCGACACTAAAAATGCAGCGCGTAATCAATATTCAATAGTAAACAACAAATGGAGCTAGCTATGCGAGACGCAAATAATGCGCCCTAGCATAGCTATTAATACTGTACCTCGACTCTAACCGAGTCGTATCGAAAGCGCTCGAAAACACCGACGTGCGGCCGCGAGGTTCGATGCGGCCCGTATAGTCCAGGCAAATAAGGATAAAATCGACTGATTTCTTACAAAATAATTAGGGTGACGTTTAATATATAATATGTTCAATAAAATGTTAACTAATTAGAAAAAAAAAAATGTTTTTATTCAATGCTTTTTTAACGGCATTTTATCTGGGGGGTCGCGCGGCCATGCGGCCTTATGGTAGAGCCGCCACTGCTCTATATACATTCATATATATTGGTAGGTATAAAGACACAATTTCACTATTAACATGTATGAGAAAGGATTTATTGCATACGTATGGTTTGTTCGTAAAACAGTGTGTGACGGTGTCCAAGAGCCGGCCGGCTGTTGATTCTGCTAACCTATGTTAATGTAATTCACACGGCCAGATCCAAGACCGGATCATCGGCAACCTACCGATCACTGTCTGAACAAACTATTGAACATAGGATAGGGATAATATATAGTGTTCTGGAAGTTGGGACTTTCCTTGTGTTTCTAGCAGCTTGAATTTTTTTACACCGAAGCAGGCGCGCAGGCAGAAGCCTGAATGCTAGAGCACCGCGGCTGCTATGAGGAGGCTAAAGAAAATTTGTTAATCTGATTTTTGGACTACCTACCTAAGGTTAGTAGAATTAGGAAAAGCTTTCTTGCTAGAGAAGAGTCATCGATCAGTCGGAAAGCCCCCTGAACAGCATCGCTACATGAGAAAATCATTACTGAATATGCTGCCCGTCAAGTTTGTATATTAGCTGTGCCAAACGGCTAATTTGTTACAATTCAAATTTTCCCCGGTTTTTTGCATCTTCAAAAACATTGAGAAGCATTACGGGAAATCGCCAGCGCGTCAGCGTTGTGTGTAATTAAGCCACATCGCAGAAAAATCGGGAATGACGAATCACACGAAACATTTTCGCAGTGCCTCACATCTAGGGACTGATTTGTATTTTCTACTTGTCATCTCAAACTAAATTTCTATTAAATTCAAATGACAATTGACGTTTCATAAATATTTCTGTCTGTAGAATATTTTTTCACATGTTAGTTGTAATGTACTTCACCAACCAGGAATGAAGCATACATCCATCTCAAGTAAGTGTATTTGAGACAAGAAACTAATATAGCTTAAGTATACAACGTAAGCTTAGACTCCCAATAATGCCATCTGTGGAGCAGATGTTACATTACATCAGAGCCACACATTGATAGCTGAAACATCTTGATGGTTAGGCAACACTTACAGCTACAGAACGATTGCACATCAAGTGAACAACAGCTAGTTACTACTTCTAAGTTGACATACATAATGTCAAAAAAAAAACATTTATATTAAAAAACCGACACAATGAAAAAAACGACATAATATCACTTTTCAAGATACGTAATACCCCTGGACCGCTTGTGTGCGCATATAGGAGACATTTTTATTTATACAAGCATTATATCCTATGTGAAGGAAAGTCTCGACTTTAAGAACAGTGTGTATCTAAACCAAAAATAATCGAGTAAAAATCCACCTGCTTATGACATGTATATTAATGAAGCCGCGATAATAAAATGAGATATATAGTTAATGCTATTTGTCTGTTATTGTATTATTTATCCTTCTTCCTCCTCTTCTTCTTCTCCTCCAGCCTTCTCTGCACCTCCTGCCTCTTCTCCTCCTTCTTGTTCTTCATCACCGTCAATTTCGTCATCACCGTCGACTTCATCATCACCGACGACTTCATCATCAGCGACGACTTCTTCGTCGCCTTCCTCGCCTGAAAAAATGGCGTCAAGTGGGTTGACTCTGCGCTTCACACGAAACGCTATCTCAGTTTGGTTTAAACAATAATGAATAATGCAGGCAAACTTTTATTTCTATAACTTTCATATTAAAATGTGTAGCAACCCTGATGGATTTACTCTCCTTGTAAGTAACCACAGCGATACAACACGCAGTACACTTTTAAGTTTTCCTACAACTGCATGCTCTTATTCAAAATTTTACCAAAATATCTAAGGGGTATCACAAATTATACTAAGTGACATATAAATCCGAACACCCAGTTTAAATGGTTTTATTTTAATAAAAGTTGGTGAATGTATTTATCTTACTGTAAACAACAAGTGAAAAAATTTTCAGCCTTATCAGTTGGACATTCCGGTTTTTATACTGCTTTTTTTAATTCACGGACGCTCTAAAAATGAATATTTGAGCCGCAGTAAAGAATCAACGTTGGCGGATTTTGGTTCTTGACATCCTTTACGATCGGTTACGATGCCTAGAGTACGGAGACCTGTACGATTTCGTCAACTTAGTGAGTTTGATAGGGGCCGTATAGTGGGACTTCGGGAAGCTGGACTTTCTTTTCGGGCAATTGCAGTTAGAGTGCAAAGAAGTGTAGACACTGTGGTTAGGTGTTGTCAGACATGGCTTCGAGAAGGCCGTACGCAAAGAGCAAGGGGCACTGGACGCCGCCGTAGAACAACATACCGTGAAGATCGCCGCCTAAGATTATTGGCCTTAAGGGACCGTTTCTCCACTACCAAGTCCATTGCAAATAAATGGTTTGCAGAACACGGAAGACCTATTGGCATGCGAAGTGTTTACCGCCGAATGAGAAGTTTTGGCTTGTTTTCATACCGGTCACACTGGGTCCTCCCTTTAACTCGAGAACACCAACGTAATCGCCTTGAGTGGTGCAGACAACGGTCCCTCTGGGATCAGGAATGGAACAGTATTGTCTTTAGTGACGAGTCTCGATTTTGTTTAGGCATGCACGATGGTCGTGCCAGGGTTAGAAGGCGACGTGGTGAAAAGAGGAATCCACAGTTTTTTGTTGAAAGACATGTTCATCACACTGTTGGAGTTATGGTTTAGGGTGCTATAGCTTATGGTTCCAGGTCACCTTTAATCTTCATGAGGTAACATGAACGCGCAGCGTTATATCCACGAAGTTCTAGAACCCCATCTTTCACCCTATCTTGACACCCTGGCAGATCCAACTTTCCAACAAGATAATGCCCGACCACATGTTGCAAGAGTCACAATAGACTTCTTTCAACATAATGATGTCACATTGTTACCATGGCCACCAAGATCTCCCGACTTATCCCCAATTGAGCACGTGTGGGATATGATGGGTAGGAGATTGCTCAATTTGCAACGTCCTCCTCAGACTCTAGAAGCACTTCGAGAGGAGTTGGTGGTTGCCTGGAATGAGATACCACAGGAGGATATTGACCACCTGATCAGAAGCATGCCTAGGCGCGTTGGAGAATGCGTAGCACATCAGGGTGCATCCACACATTATTAAAGGTTAAAGGGCTTTAAAGCAGTGCAATCATTTTGAAATGTTTATCATTTACTTATTATGCTTCATTAAGTACTTATACAAAATTTTATTAAAATAAAACCATTTAAACTGGGTGTTCGGATTTATATGTCACTTAGTATATAATGATTTAGCACAAAGTAAAAAAGTTTTAGGCCAGAGCTGCCTTTATGCCGTAGAAGAGTTTTTATCTTACAAATCTTAAATTCTCATTATCATGTGTAGGTCTTACTTCTTTTTTTTGATTATAATTTTTAATATGTCTTGTGTATCAGTCATTTGTTTCTTCTATGACTTGTCACATGTATTTCTTCTGATGAATGTGATCAATAAATGTCTAAGTTCGGTACAAGTTAGCCTCTTAGAAAAAAATAGCGTCAAGTAGATTAGTTCTATATTTCCTACTCCTTCGTTGAAAAAGGATGAGTCAAAAAGCTAAATCGAATCGAGATTGACTCAGGGACGATGAATCTTTGACCTCCACTTATCAAACATTTTAAATCAAATCATATTTCTGTGTGGACAATGAACAGTTTTCTGTGGCCAAAAAGGAATAAAACACCCCAAAAATATTCAAAGGTTTTATTTCACCCACAATAAATCCCCCAGCACATTACACCCCCAAAATTCCTCAAGGGGATTGAAATTCCCCCAAATTTGCCAACCTTGAGACGGGTTAAGGACTAGCGGGCTGACCGATAGAGACGACAAACCGGTGGAAATGAGTGATCTGGTATTTTGGTGTTGAATCCAGTATACCGGTACTGCCATTCTGAAAAAATATACAATAATTCTGATTATAGATCAGCAACCGGAGTAACCACAGGATATGCTTTTTTGAAACAACCTAATCAAGATTTAGATTTTTGGGATCGGCTGCACCGTAAACCTTTACGGGCAGTATTGAAGCAAGGAGATAAACATGGATTTTATTTTACAACTAAATTATTACCCCCCACTCACCCTCAAAAATATACAGCGTGTCCCGATATTCCGTAGACATAAAAAGTACCACGTATTTTTAAACTCAAAATAAGTTGGTTGGAAATGATTAACCCTTGCAAAAGTGCTTTGTTTGTCCGTTAGAGGGCGTCAAACTTTTCTTCTCAACATACATTTCTTAAGATATTTCAAGAACCGACAGTCCGAAATGGATGAAATCGGCAACATATGCTTTGCTGGACATTCTAATACTTGACTTTGATAAAAGCTCTAAAGGGTTCGATAATTACAGGCAATAGTGCGAATCTTTCATAAAATTCATTTTTTTCCGTTTCCGCTTCGGAAAACCAAGTGACTCGAGCGAGTTCAAAATTGTACTGAAATCTCATCACGTAATTTACAGCCCTCGTTTTTGTATACAAGTAATGAAAGCAGAACAAGTTTGAAAATACAACTATACTATCTGAAGCATGAATAACTAAGTTCTTACCGTCACCGCCACCTTCACTCTTTAGAATATGCTCGATCGCTTCTTTAATGGGGTCCCAAATGGCGTTGACGAAAATTCCCAGCCACCAAAGCGTGAACATACATGGTGGGTGCTGGTAGAGGGTCAAGTCGGTGAAGTCGAGATCACATATCGACACATAGCCTGGCTCCGCCATGATGCACTTTGGATGGAAGGCTGGCGATTTCGCACGGGAATTTTGTATAAAACCCCGAAGATTATCAAGTTTTCATTTTGCGGCGGACAATTGCGGAGTATGTCACTGTCAGGATTTCTAACGACTGCCTTACGGAATACGATATACAGCATGTTATCCTAGTATTAAAGTCGAAGGATACGATGCGAGTAGTATGCCTTGATCTACGAAATACGCTCAGTGACACGGACAATAGGACACAGTAAAATTATTTGATTTGAATGAAATTTTATACCCAGAAATCCAAATATCACTGACGAGGTACTGTGTACGGGAGAGAAACGTGCAATACGAATGTATAGTGTGCCGATGGCAACGCGGCAAGCTGCGTCCTCCTGGCCCCGTCATTCGGGTTGCTAGGCAACGTGGTGCTCACATCTCTTTCTAACACACATATTGCATGCTTATCGCGCTTCTCTCTCGTACACATTATACGATTTCAGCGGTATATGGATTTCTCTGTGTACAGTTAAATATAAGTAAGAGGAAGTCGAGATTAAATTTTGAAGTGCAAACATTTTCTGAATTGCTGGATTTACCTAATAATGTGTTGAGCCACCGATGACGTATATACATTCATCCAGTTGTCAGGACACGATTTTGATGAGATGATTTATGTCAGTAAGGGAACGAGTCATATATGTATTTATTTATTATCGTGTTGGAAAATAGATCAGGTTCAAAAAACTTATTTTTTTCGTCAAAATGTGTATTTTTCAGTGGAGGGCATATGACAGTTAAAGAACAACAGACTTATTCTAATAATCCAAAATAGATATACCATTTGCATGCCATGGTTGGTAGAAGAAAATCTGATATCTCTTTTAATATAATTTTAAACTAAGCCTTCAGCAAGAGAATGATCTTAATATGAGGCATTTTATTAACCGAAAGTCGCATGAACGGCCCGTCAAAAATTGTCATATTTCTGACAAAAAAGCAGTGACAATAGTAATTTTTGAATGATCTTATAATGGATGTTAAGCACCACAAAGGCTTCAACATTTGGCTATTATTTCAAATTTACCGGTAGGCATTTTCCAATAAATAAATGTAGAAGTCGAAGATTTCTGATGTTTTTTGTAATAACAAATCAGTTACGGCAAAATGGCCGTGAAAGGTTTCATTTTGAAGGTATTTTCATCCACTGCAAATTTAAGAGTACTTATACCAATAATTCATAACTATTTGAACGTACGTGAAAAAGTGATTTGTCCAACTTTGACGTTTAATAAAAAAAGTTAGCCGGAAAAATTGTTTGTATCTCTCAGTGAGGAGCCTTGTCATATACCTTGAAGAATACAACACCGATGCAAAATCGCTTATTTCATTTTTTTCTGGAACAAAGTCGATTTTTGGCTAGTTAGCTTGCTCTAAACCAGTATTTTCTGGATATACAGGTGCACCATCATACCTCGTCTATTGGGAACTATAGATGACTTATTAGCACCAAAAAAAACAGTCGTTGGTACTGTTTGTTATCTGTTGCTAGGACTTACAAAATTCAGTCTATTATCATTTTTTAAATGGTAATGGATAACAATCTGATCATATACTATCGTGTGTGTTTTTTGGAAGAGCCGTTTTATGAAAAAATCAACTTGTACGCGCTCAATTAGCTCAAGGTATGTTATATCCCACACTGGTACCAAGTATGTTATACGAGCCCCTTCCCAATTCAGTTGTCCCACTTCAAGATTTGTACCAAAATATGCCTATATAAACTAAACATGACGAAACTATTTACGTCTAAAACAATTTATTTTCTCAAAAACATTTTAGACACACTCTAGTCGTAAAAAATACATATTTGAAATCACAGCCACCTGTGTGTTATAGACTTATTTTGCATTGAAATGAAAATAGGTTGATATGCTGTAATTGCAACATGTGTTATTTTTGTGCTGCAAATTTGATTAGCGAGTGATAAAGTTGGTATTTTCTACTATATATTATCAAAATATGCATTGTTAATATTTTAAACCTATAACACCCTGCTAAATTTTTATTATTTGTGTTTGATAAGAAAAAAACTAAGATTTCAATAATTGGGCCAACTGAAGTGGGAAGGGGCTCGTAGATTTGTACAGATTTTTTTCATCAATATTCTGGGTTCTGTTAAATGGTAAATTAAACAAATATATCAATTTTTTTATATATTTCAAAATATAGACAGACTTGGTACATAAATTATTTGTAAACAATAAAACAATGGAATGATAATAAACTATCCTTACAAAATCTTTATAAAAAAATATGGATTCAAATGCAATAAGTTCTAATTTTCATATTTTACAAAAAGAATCTCACACAAATAATACAAACATTGACAGAGTAAAATCAGAATGGAAATTGAACTATTTTGGCTATTTGATGTTTTGCAATATTTAGCAGCCAAAGTGTAATATTACAAATAAATATAATTTCAAGATGCTAACTCAAAATTCAGTACAGTAGACATCAATGAATTTGAAACATCAAATAGCTCAAAATCCTTGAATAGTTACTCCAAAACCATTCATTGCACTAAATTATATAATATAAAATTGCAAAAGTATAATACAAAATTTTGGAGGATTTTTCGTATCATTTCAAATTATTTTCATGCCATACGAATGGACTGTATGATCTGGAAAACTGCAGAGCCACATACAACAAAGATGAACAGAGCTAACAGCCATGGACCTACTGCTGGCCCATCTTGACTTGTTTTCTGTAAGAAAAACATTTGATTCAATTGTGTGTAGAGCTATACAGCATAAAATATTTCATCTACTATTGATTTTATTACAAGTTGGTGTTCTTCCTTTGCTGTTGTCATTTGGAGTTTTACTGACTAGTGCATTTTAAAACATGATATCAAAACAAGAACAAACAAATGTTTTGTATCTGTATCTGTTTAAAATGTGTAAATCAACCAATAATTATAAATAATATGAGAGATGCTTAGTAGACAATTATCTTATCAGAAAATAACTTTCAGATCATTAATTAATGAAATAGATATTACTCTTATAATGTTATCTGCTTCAAGGTAGATGCTGTGATAACATTTTCCTTGTACAAAGCAAAGAGTTGTCAATTGATCAGTACTATTGTTAATCTATCAAATTGTAAAGTAAAGATGATAGTATAAATTTGTTATATCCTAATATAGAGTTTATATCAGTCTTAGGACATAAATCCATGGTTAATATTCTACTGGCAAATTTATAGTCCACCTTGTTGTGTTTTTGTTCTTATCTGTTTAAAATGCTTCTTTTATAAAACACATATGTTTGCCATAGAAGCCCTAAGTACAGCTTGTACTTCTTGAGGGGACACCTTTTACTTTTCAATATTTCTGGAATGTAATCAACAGGTACACTCTCTCTCTATGACTTACAGAGGGGGTCAATTGAATCCACCTGATTCTTTCCTTATATTTATATGGCAAAATCATGAGTACAACATGCATTAGGACTACCCCAAAAAATGATGTTTTGATGTAACAATACAATATTAAATACCCCTTCTTATTGCTTGTTTGATACAAGAAATATACATTGAACTCATGTTACCATCCTGATGAATGAAATTTGGTGCCTTTTAAAAGTTTTAAACAAAATACAGCAAGCCTTAGTTCATAACTGGAAGAGAATACCGAAGGGGCAACATTACATTCCAAACCCAGATGTTTGTTGATTGTAAACGTTATCAATTTAAAGTACAATATGGTTGGGTCACTCACCGAAGATTTGGGCACATTGCCACGCATGGTGACATTCTTCATTGCTTTTTCGTTAGCAATACGCATCCTCTGTTTGGGGGCCATTCTGCTTGGTGTATAAATGCGAAAATAATGTTGAAAATAAAAAACGCACGAAGTCTGACTTTACACGTATCGTTCTACTCCGAAACGACTAATCTAAAGTGAGGAAAGGAAACGTCGGAGGGGGTGTTTTTATTGCTCACTCTTTGACATTTCCAGAACGTCGCTGACACGTGTCAGCCGCGTCAGCCTGACAGTTGAGCATAGATAGCGAAAGTGAATTAGATTCTAATTTCTGATTTTTAAACTTATAAATATGTACGTCGGTCATTTTCATTCACAAGTGTGCTGGTCGTCCTCGAGCTTTGGAATACTTCCATTTGTCCCAGTTTGTGATACAATTTTTCTTCTTTTTCCGTGCATTCGTGGTTCCAGGTTCAAGGAAAAGTTGGGTTATGTCATTTACATAACCTAATAAATAATAAAAATAAAAGCGTGCTACCAAAACACATTTCCTTTCAAAAAGTTTACGCATACCTTACAATGAGTGTTTTTGAAATTGTAGCTGGCACATACGAAGAATTTCTTCTGGGATATATTTTTGATAGTACCGTAAGTACCAGCATGCAATATCCTTATGTTTTGCCATATAAATATCCACTTTTTTATTAATACGTTGCTCCATTAAACTTTTGAAGGACTTGAAGTTGACCCAGAGCTTTGCGACTCACAACCACACAAGCAGCGTTAGGTGTGTCGCTACAGCTGGTCAATATGTAGCTTCTGGTTCAGCAGATGACCGTCTAATGATATATGACATGAAAAAACGCAAAGAGCATTGCATGCTTACCCATCACAATGCCACAGTCAATGCAGTGCAATTCACTGCAAATGGAAGCCATATTTTGTCTGGTAGCCAAGATGGGGTGCTGTGTATATTGAAGACAGGCAACTGGAAGCTAGAAAAGGTTTGGGATAAGGCACATAAGGGCGATGCCATACAGGATATTGCAGGTATATATTCAAAATAAAAAATTTATTCAACTAATGATACTGTTTTCATGCATCTGAGCAACATAGAACCAACAATATACAGCTGTTTCATGCTTATTAACAATCATCAGCATCATCCAGGTCAGGTATGACAATGATCTAAAACAGAGCAAAAAGTATCCTCTTTTTTAAGTATGAGGTATAGATCGAGGGCCAAGAACCATAAGGTTCCAAGCGACAGTCCCACTATTTTTAGAGAAATGAATTTTACAGTTTGTAGTTGGATAATTTATGCTTTGATAGGGAAAATTGTATCTGAATGGATTTGAGATCTTTGTATAGGTATTTTACATTAAAATTACTCTCAGATGCCTGTTTTAAATCATTTTTAACACATTATTTTTGCTGTTTTTTTTTTTGCTGGAACTTTGTGGCACTTTCAGCTGTGTATTTGAAACCCTACAGTCCTCGTACATTTGAAATTAATTTTTTTATTTTGTAAGGCTTATAAAAACTAAAATTAATTAGTAAATGGATGTTTCAGGTTAAACAAATAATCAGTTATTTAAAAACAAAGATTTCATCACAAAAAACTAACCAAACTTTTAACCAACAAAAAATGTAATTTCCTGTTAAATCGAGGATTTTGTACCAAACTGTTATTAATTCTGAAATTGGGAAAGCAAACTTTTCATGTAAAGCTAGTCTTCCAACAGCATCCATTTATATGCAAATTCTATGTACTCAATTTTCTTAGTAGAAAACAGACACCATGTTTATGTTGCACTTGAAACCTTATGGTTGTAACGATACAACATAATCTACACTTGAAACTATATTTCTCTGTTTATTTTGGCGCCATCTATTAAGGTATTCAAGAGTTTCTTAGAGAAAACAATACACACATTTCTGCAAAACAGTGAATTTTGTAAAAATTGTACCTCTAATAGAGGGTACCTATTTTGCTCTGCTTTTGTTCAATGTCCTACTCAGAGACCAAGCCTAGATCATAGCTAGAGAATTTATACAATTCTGGAATTAGTATAATGTGCTATTCTACTGATCAATGTATTTTTTAGTGCATTCTTCAGGAAAACTAGCACTTACATTAGGTCAAGACTATGCTTTAAGAACATGGAACTTGGTAAAGGGTCGTCAAGCTTATGCAATAAATCTAACCACAAAAAGCAAAGATTTTAGGAGTTTGGAAAAGATAGCCTTTTGTGATGATGGGATTAAATTTTTGCTGTATGGAGGGAGATACACTGAAATTTGGAGTATTGAAACAGGTAACGCAGATGTCATTTTAACAATTTTTTATTTTTCTTCAGAAGATTTTGAATGATTGAAAAACTTTTTTGATAAGATTGAATTGACTAACTTATAACTATATTCTTGTAAACTTCATTTCAAAATTGCACTCTTAGGGCTTGCTTTTTTTTACTGTTTTGATATGTCTGTTCACCAAGTTTTGCAACATTTATCAATATTTCTTCTCACCTTCATGCTATAAAATCTCTTTTTTCTTTAAGCTTTTTTCAGTTTATGTTTTTTTTATTACAAGCTTATCTTTTCAACAGGTGGCATAATAAAAGCTGTAGAGCACCAAAGTAAAGTAAGCTTTTGTGTATGGACTTCAAATGATTCATTCTTGTCAGGCCATGAGGATGGAACAGTGAACACAGTATATGTTACTAAAAGTGATGTTGAATCTGTAAAGGCACATAATAGCAGAGTGAAAAGCATAGTTAAACATTCAGATTATGTGATCACAGCATCTAGCAATGGAGAGATTAAGGTTTGGACTCAGGATTTAGAAGAGTTAGCAAAAACTAATAGTGGGTGTAGAATTACATGTTTGTGTATCCTTCCTGTGGTCGAGATAAAAAAGGAGAAAGAAGATATCAGTGAAGAAGAACAGGAAGTAATCAATGTTTATAAAGGAAGAAGTGAAGTTGTGATTGAGATGGAAGATGAAGAGGGAAATGTTAAAAAGATGAATAAGAAAAAGAAGAAGAAGAAGAAAATACAAAAGAATGACCATGAGGATGAATCAAGAATTGTTACAAATGTGGAATCAATACTTGAAGGTACTGGTGAAGTTAAAAGGAAGAAGAATAAAAAGAAAAAGAGAAACTTGGAAGACTCTGCAGATATAAATGGGAGTACAATTGAGAATGGTGATGTAGAATCAGCATGTGCAATTCCAAGTAAAGTTACGAGCAAAAAGAAGAAAAAGAAGAAGTCTGAAGATTTTGTGGAAATAAGTGAAAGTATAGTTGAGGAAGCAATATGTGAAGACAAGAGAAAAAAGAAAAAACATAAGAGGTCAGGAGACTTTGAAAATCAAAGTGAGAGCATGGATGGAGCATCTAGTACCTTAGAAGAACTGACAATTCATTTGAATGATGCTAAAAATAGAAAAAGGAAAAGTCAGGAGCCCAATACAGAGTTAAAAGTAAGAAGTAAGAAAACAAGGCCTTCAAGTTTTACAAGTCACTCTCAAATAAATAGAGATAATTGTGTTAGGCCTAAAAAGAAGAAAAACATGGGTAATTAAATATATGATATTTTACAAGATTTTTTATTTAATGTTTCCACCCAATTCCCATTTCATATGTTGTACTACACAATATAAATATGATAAATGTATATTTCACAATGTTTTGGAAGTTTGTGTAACATACGAGCATCATTACAAAAAAAAGGCAAAGACAATGTATAAGAATTATATTGTTACTTCTGGTATATAAAAACTCATCATACAAACATACAAATCTTAACTAAATATCACAATGAATGCAACAATGGAAGAGGTAGTTTACAAATATAATATAAAATGTGGTCTACTAGACCTTCTCAAACCAGTCTATTTGACAACTTTCCACACAGTTACTCTGACTTGCCCAGTATGTTACTACTGGCATATCACATTTTCTGATCTCTAAGCTATCTAGTAATTCTTTCGTTATTTTTGGCGCCCAATTCACAACACAAGCTATGTTAAGCCATTTTATTATCAAGCTTGACAGGTGGTGTGTCAAAGCTGGCTCTGGTATAGTATCATTGCTTATAGCTTGTTCAATTTGACAGACCAGTGTCGGTAACTTTTGTGGAAGACAACCAACGAAATGAACCTTGTTTTCTTTTGAACAGCTGCATATACAACTTTCAGTTGAAGGTGGTCTGAAGTTTACTGGTAGCAACTGATTGAAAATCCTTTCCGTTCTTGCATCATAATACTCGGTTTTGATCCCTGTTACAGTACAATGTACTAGAGTCCTAAATACATCCTTGGGTATACTTTTGTAAAGTTCTCTCAGTTCCTTTGCGGCAGAAACATCAACAGGGCAGTCGGGAACTTCGTGGGGAATACTCCTATAGATTTCAGATCGTAACAGAAATACAAACCACATGTGTAAGTGTGCGAAAATGTTTGGTTCACCAGTAAGGAGAGCCAGTGAACGCTGGTTTGTCTTATAGCCTTCTTTTTGCCTGACTTCTCTTTGAGAATGGACAGATTGTTCTGCTGTATTGACCTTACTAGCTTTCTGCTGGATGCTACTGCTGATTTTTTTCAAGTTTTCTTTTATGAAGTCGTAATGCTGCAACAGTGATATCTGAAAATACATTATGCTATCTGAACTGCCAGCATTGTACTCATTTATATAAAAACATGTAACATTCATCTCATGAATTGCACTGAAAGTGTTTTCGGTAGTATATTCAGGGTGGACCAGAAAGTCGTACGAATTTCAAAACCGCATTGCTCGTGACAGACACGTAGGAGCGGGAGCCCAGATCTCACACCACTGAATTTTTTTCTCTGGGAGTCGCGTTTACGTCAATAAACCGACGACGATTGTCCAGTTCAAGCACAACATTTCCGAGGAGATGTCAACTATCCCACGAGCGATGTGCCAGCAAGTTTTCACGAGTTTGAAGTCGAGATTCGAGTAGTACGTACGTCTTGATGGCTCATCTCAATAATGTTATTTAAAAAAAAAATCATGTTAATAAAAATATAAATTATCTTCCCTATGCTTTGTATTTTTTTTCTATGATTTTTTAAAATGCGCTACACTTAATGGCCCCCCTTGTACAGGGTGCGTCATCTATTACTTTTTTTTTCTATTTGAAAAATCAACACGCTTTTTACGAGGTGAAATCTAATTTTTTATTAATAAATGAAGGTTGGTTTATGCCATTTATGTATGAAAAATAAAATCAGTCATGTGACCACCGCGGCTTCAGGATGGAGAGGTTGTTCATGATATTGGTTTGGATTTTCAGCCCCCCAGAATCTGCAATTTTGCTTATTTACGTACCCATTGAGGTGAAAATGAGCCTCATCAGAAAACAGCAGCGAAAATCCGTCTTCTCTTTCCAGCATCCAATTAACAAAAAAACGCCGCTTTTGATGGTCTGCCGGCTTCAATTCTTGTGTTAGTTGGATTTTGTATGCTGCACTGCGGCTATGTTTTCACGAGTACGAGCTGGACGTTGGACGAGCATGTTGGTACGGTCCACGACCTTCAGCTGAACCAAAATCAAAACGATTAACAATCCAACGAATTCCAGGCTCTGTAGGGCGTCCGTGTCGGCCAAAACTAGTGCGAAGATTACGAAAAGTATTTTTTATATTTCTACCGTTTTCGTAATAAGTTTTTATAACCAAAATGCGTTGTTGTGTTGTAAACGAGTCCATGACTGTAAATGGCATACCTTTGTCAGTTCATTTATGCATACATGACTTTTGATTCACATGGTAACACATAAACTTATAGATAAAAAAAAGTAATTGATGCCGCACCCAGTACAATAACGAATATCGGTAATTTTATAGATCATTATATTCTTTATTGAGTTTTGTTTTACCTGATCTTGACTTAACACAACTATGCAATACTTCCGTTTGAAGCCTCTAGCAAATGAGTCTTTCACATCGAAGACATGGGATATGATGTGGCCTCTTTTATTGTCACCAAAGTACATCGTGCCTACAGGCACTGACTCTTCTTGGACCACCTAAGAAAAAAATATAGTAAAAAATAGCTGTTTCCGAAGCATTTTGTCTGGTTAAACACGAAAATCGCTATGAATAGTTAGATTAGATTTACTCGAGAAGAGATGGAACCTACTTAGGTAAGAAAATCTCGCTAGGCATTGCGGTCCGAAATATTCACCGCGGCATAAATGAAAAAATTGGAGAACTAAGAATGGCAAAATAGTTTTTTTAATTGCCGTGAAGTAGGTAATTATTTCGATAACATCATAGAATGTAGGTAAACAGGAAGTAATATCAAAAACGTCCAAATTATTCTGTGCTTTTTTGCAAACAGTATTTTAGAGTAAAGGTTAAGTAGTTCTTCAGGTATGTAAAAAGATTTTCCATTATTTCATAGATGAATAATATTTGAATACATAAGAAACGGATACACGTTCCTGTTAAATCTTCCCAACATGGCTTTGTCAATTAAGTCTCAAATGTTTAATTACCCAAACAGATAATGTTCCCAATTTCCATACAGGAAACTGTCGTGTTACTTAAAAAAGCTAATACAAAATTTTCATGCCCATTTTCGTTTTTCTCGAACCACAATTAGTGAGATTTCACTACTTGGAATCAGGAAACAGATAAACTTTTCTTTTTGTTGGACAGTGTTTGGAAGATTATTTCCTAGTCTGACGCAATTTTGATTAAGTTTTAGGTTGTGTGCCAAAAAATGTATAATTACTACTAAGTAGTAAGCTCAAGCATCCTTTTTTGGGTTATTATATAAATTGTATCACTATGGTTTTAAAGGATTAGTATTGAACATTTTACAAAACGATTTGGTAAATAGAAGTAAAAAAAAAAATGAGTTGTAAATATTATGCCAAGCGTTCAAAATATATCAGTAGGGGTGACACGGGGAAGTAAATTATTGCCGTTACTATTTTTTGTTCATATAAATGATATCTCTGACATTTTAGAACACTGCAAAATTCAAATATTTGCGGAGGATATATATATATATATATACAGGGTGACTTTGAAGTTGAGTCATTAATTTTCAGATAATGATTGTAGAAGGAAGATAAACCAAAATATGTGTGTAAAAATAAAAAAAATCTTTAGCTTGTTTTATAAAGTTCCCCGACAAGTATTTCATTGCGGACCTGTATTTGTTCGTGCGGTCTTGGAGCACCGGCATGCCCTCCCCTGTGAGGTCTTAAGTCACCTGATTCACGAACCCTTTGTACTACATTAACGAAGGCACGAGGGGTTGGTTGCAATCGATTAAATAGGAATCATGTCCACAAGTTCAGCATTTTCGTAAACATGTGCCATTTTTTATTTCGTTTGAGCCACGCAACAAACACCACTATTCACTCACGAGTTACCGACTGAAACATTGACTGACATCGTGATAAACGTTTCAAATTCTTTCGCTTTTTTGTTTCCGATGCGATGAACCGATAAGGCGGATTATATCCGTTGTTGCCAAACACGAGTACATAATATTATTATTGAGACAGGGCGGTACTCAAACTTCTAAAGGGCTATAACTTTGTTAATTTAATTTTACCAGAAAAATGTTAAAGGAAAAAACATTTCTTTTGATCAAATCTACTCACTGTTAAAATAAATGACTCAACTTCGAAGTCACCCTGTATATATAATGTATATAGCACATAAGCATTTGGACACTGCTTTAGAACTGTTAAATAGTAATAATAATAATAATAATAATAAACGTCTTTATTTCCAAATAGACTGAGTATTTAAAAAATAGCCAAATACGGGCGAAGATCAGCTGTAGCTACTCTTCCACTTAACCCGCTATAAAAAGTCTGTACAAAAGGTGAGTGAGACCTACTTATTTTACACATTACAATTACTAAATGTATATGCAGTGCTTACATTAATACATCTACTATAAAAGAAACATAAACTTGTATCAATATTTTCCTGAAATATGGTTACTACTGCTGGGATAAGAGATATTTTTTTAATTGAGTTTTGAAACTTGAGATGCTCAGAGTTTGATATTGTACCGGACGGGTGTTATAAATGGAACAAATTTGATAGCTGAACGATCGTTCAAATTGGGCTGTTCGGAATATCGGCGGTGTCAACAACCCCCTGGATCTTATATTGATGTTATGCACATCTGTTCGAAATGTAAATTTTTCAAATAAGTAGGTGGGGGTCTTATACAAAATTATTTTATGATATAATGTTGCGGCACGCAAAAATCTTCTTGTTTCCATGTTCAACCAATTCGCATCTTTCAACTTATGCGATATTCGGTCTCGTCTTCTGATGCCATATATTAATCTGAGACAAGAATTCTGCGCAACCTGAATTTTTTGTTTGTAAGTGGCAGTTAAGCACGGGCCATACAACATATCAGAAAAATTGAAGTGCGAGAGCACCAACGACTTCATTTTGACTTTAACGGGAAGGTTACGTCTGTTGCCGTACAATATTTTTAAAGAGGAATATGCCTTACGAATGAGCGAATTTACATGTTTTTCAAATCTTAAATTTACATCCAGTGTTACACCCAAGTTCTTTGCTTCACTGACAGTTTCAAGTTGTTGTGCATTGATGGTAAAGCTAATTGAGTTAGTAACAGCCTGGCGCGCATGCTTTGGCCCAAATACAATTACTTTAGATTTGCTAGAGTTAAGATGTAAACAATGTTCTTCGGCATTCTTTGTCAATAATGATAAATCTCGGTTGATAGTGATATTAAAATATTATGAATTGGTTAAATGTTAATATACGTAAACACTAATAAATCAAAATCTATGTCAATAGGGAAACATTTAAGTGACAATACAATTAGGCTCATGATTAATGATGAAAAAATTGAAGTTGTTGGATCATATAAATATCTGGGTATATATGTGGATAGTAAACTACTGTTTCACGAGCATTATGAATACATTATTTCAAAAATATCAAAGAAGATAAATTACTTCTAAAGTTTCCCATAATCTTAGTATGTATTTCAAAAAAATTGTGTATAACACTATAATTCTTCCCCATTTTTTATATTCCATCATCTTGTTTACGGCAAATGAAAACATATTTTCAAAACTACAAATACTAAAAAATAAAGTTATGAGGATCATCTTAAATAAAAAACAAATATGCTAGAATTAAGTCTATGTTAGAAGAAATGCAGTGGTTGAACGTGAAAAATTTCGTATGTTATTTAGTTCTCATTTTCATATTCAAATTAAAAAATTATTTATTACCCTCACGTTTAGAAAACTTCACAAAATTAAATAGTCATTATCATAACTACGAAACTAGAGGCAGTATAGATTTTCATACGCAAAATTGTAATAGTAGCATAACTAGCAAATCTGTATTTCAAAAGGGAGTATTTGAATTTAATAAATTGAATAATGATATTAATCAGTGTTCGAATTTAAAAATGTTTAAAGTGAAATTAAAAACTCACTTTATGAATACTCAAAATACATAGTGATGCAATTTTTATAGACAAAAATGTAAAAATACAGAAAATAGATTGAAGAAAAACGTGTAAGCGACTAATTATAAAAAATTACCTTTGTATCATTAATGCTGAATAAATCTTCACCAAACAAATAAACAAAAATAAACCTACCTCAATACTCAGACTTCTCAGCACAGCATCCTTCAGTACAACCGCCCTACTCTCATCTAAAGCCGTCCGAGTACTGATGTAGTACCAGTCTTCATCTTGGCAGGCGTACACCGTGTCCAATTGTATAGACTGACAAGCATTGCATACTGATTCATTCAGGTGTAAGTCTTCGGAAATTTCTTTTACCCTGTCCGTGCAAAAAACTACACACGGACCATGCGTATCGCAGAAATGCCCTAGTGCTATGGTCACTTCCATTGTAGAGACTGATCACTGAACGATAGCTGTTTGATTATAAATAGAACGACGCGTCATGCAGAGTCACATGAGGATTTGAGGATAGGCTATTTTATGCTTTCACGTGCATTAGTTTGTTTATTGTTTCGGTAGTTATTTTTATGTTTGTTAGTGATGGGAGTATTTACACAGCATTTAGTATGAACGTCGGTTGATCACTTTTTGTATCAATAACGTATTTTAAAGAGCATCCGATATTTAAGGCGGAAACAAATGGTTACGTTACGTGACCTCACAAGCTATTTCGTGAGCTCACGTACCAGAATGCAGCAGAAGCACTAGTGTAAATACAACAGTATATTCCCGTATACATTCTGGAACATTATTATTACCATAATCATTTATTGATTTTTTGAATTTGAACTCTGTTAATGCCAAAATTAACTCTATACTAAGAAATGTGACCCTAAACTTCAATATTGTATGTGATATCTTCGTATAGTTGCGCGTAGAAATGAAACAAGAAATACCAAAAATATTAAGAGGCTGAGTTAAAAGACCAAATACGAAAGTAAACTTATATAAAGTACTACCAAATGTTAAATATTAAAATATTGCCTCATTGTATTCCTTTTTTCAAGTGTCTGATGTATATATATACAGGGTGACTTCGAAGTTGAGTCATTTATTTTAACAGTGAGTAGATCTGATCAAAAGAAATGTTTTTTTCCTTTACCATTTTTCTGGTAAAATTAAAGTAACAAAGTTATAGCCCTTTGGAAGTTTGAGTACCGCCCTGTCTCAATAATAATATTATGTGCTTGTGTTTGGCAACAACGGATATAATCCGCCTTATCGGTTCATCGCATCGGAAACAAAAAAGCGAAAGAATTTGGAACGATGTTTTATTCAGTTGTATACAGTCAGTGTCAGTCGGTAACGCGTGAGTGAATAGTGGTGTCTGTTGCGTGGCTCAAACGAAATAAAAAATGGCACATGTTTATGCGGATCGGTTTCCCAATCGAGTGCAACCAACCCCTCGTGCCTTTGTTAATGTAGTACAACGGGCTCGTGAATCAGGTGACTTAAGACCTCACAGGGGACCTCACGATCAAATACAGGTCCGCACAGAAATACTTGTCGGGAGGATACTTTATACAACAAGGTAAACTTTTTTTTTTATTTTTACACACATATTTTGGTTTATCTTCCTTCTACAATCATTATCTGAAAATTAATGACTCAACTTCAAAGTCACCCTGTATATATATAGTTGGGTATGTTTTTTGATCTCTCCAAAGCTTATGATTGTGTGAATCATTCTCTTCTATTGAATAGACTCGAGGCATACGGGATAAGGTGAAGTGTTTGCAACTGAATTAAGTCTTATCTGACAGATCGTATGCAAAGACTTTTCATTACAAAGATTGAAATATCAGCCGTTTCATCACAGTTAACGGTAGAAAGAGGTATTCCACAAGGTAGCGTCTTAGGAGCTCATCCGCTTTTTGATTTTGATGAACGATCTGTGTGCTAGTATTACAACCCCAAATAATGTATGCACGATCCAATACGCTGATGACACTAGTGTACTACAAGATTTCAACCATTTAGTTGAAAGTACTTCGAGCCTCTGCGAGAAAACGTTTTTGTGGTTTGCTCGTAATGGATTATCTCTGAATACCTCAAAAACAAATGCGATTGTTTTTAAGTTAAGAAAAGAAATCGAAGCTACAAACATCACCTTAGCAGAAAGAATAGAAGTCCCTCTGACAGACTGTGGAAAATTCATGGGAGTTCATATTGACCAAGCACTTTCCTGGGCTAAACATATAGAACATCTAGAAAAAAGGTTAAACAATGCATGTTATAGTATTAGAGTACTAAGTAGCTGGTCCTCAAGACTAAAAATGGTATATTACGATTTTGAGTCCATTGTAGGTTTGGAATAAAAAAAATCTATATTATGTTATATGTTTTGCCTCTTTTTTTTTCTGTCTCGATGACACTGTGACGTATATTCCACCTAACAGTGTGTGGTACATTGTAATCGTGCACTGTTATTTTGAAATAAAGATTTATTATTATTGATTTTCTGAACTCTGTTAATGCCAAAATTAACTCTACACTTAAGAAGTGTGACCTTAAAGTTTAATATTGTATGTAATATCTTCGTATAGTTGCGCATAGAAATGAAACAATACCAAAGATATTAAAAGACTGCTCCTACCAAATACGAATTTAAACGAACGACTTATCAAGTAGGTACTACCAAATTTTACGTTTGTATCTAAAAAAAAAAAAAACGATTTCTGAAGGAGCCAAGGGAAATGAGAAAATTCCCATTTTTATTGTGGTTAAGATGAAAAATACAGATTTATTTCTTTCATCATTCTTTATTTGTATATTTGCAGTACCATAGGAGAAAGTACAATATTTCATGTATTTTTTATAAGAATTTGTCGATATCGTCAGATTTCTATACATCTTTGCCAATCACAAATACCGCATAAGTGAACGATAACCTTCACTTTTTTTTGACATTCAAGTCAGTGTTTTATATGAGGTAAATATCAAAATAACGTTCACACTTGCGGTATTTGTGATTACGAAAACTCTCTAATATCCAAAAGTTTCAATGAACAGAAGTTAATATTGCTTGTCTAGTGGATAGACTGTAGTATTGCGGCGGATAGCCGATCCGATTCAAGAGGCATTTTCCTTATAGTGAAGATTCTTCTAGCGGTGGAGAAGATATGCTTCCACCTAGCAAGAAACTCACAATTTTTTTGGAACTACAAAGGTAGCGGAAGCAAAGACCCACCATGGAAATTTCTCCCAAAAAATACAGTTGCTAAATAACTTGACATTTATCTGAACATGCATTGAATTAAGCAAACGGACAATTTTTGTTTTATTGCTATTCGGCTTCCGCTGTATTCGATTATCTGGTCAAACAATTAATTGGTACAAGGATATCCGCTATAAACCTAAAAGTCGAAGAATAAACTCTGAATTTCCGCACCACTGCCACCCCGTTCCCGTATCGCAGATTTTGAATCATGCGTTCGACGTTAAACTGTTTATAAACAGGGATTCCGCAACGCGGATGCTACACTTGAATTAATTCTCTGCCGATGCCGTACCGGATTCAACTAAGTAAATGGAGCCTGCAAATCTCGTGTTTGTTTTATAATCGGTGTGATTTCTTTTGAGATTGTTTACTCTCATTTATTTAGTTCACTTAAATAATAACATGAATCACCACGAGATGTTTGTTATAAATGATGAAGACACTGCATCTGATCTGCAGGCAAGTTTATGCTTCAAATATGTGAAAAAGAATTCAATTCTGTGTTAGGTTGTGCATCACGCGCCGTAGGGTTAGAAAGAAACTGACTTAAACTGAAAGCTGCAGCTTTATGGAAACAGTACGCCGGCTGTATAGAGTTTATAAATCGACCTTAACAGATAGACTAAGCGTGTTCCATCCTGGAATCAAATTTGTAGTTAATCTGATACACTCGTTGCTATCGATGGTAAGTGCTTCTTCCTATGCCCAGACAATTGACCAGACTGCGTAAAACTTTTCCCGCATATCTTGCAATTGTACGGTTTTTCTCCAGTGTGAATTCTGCAATGCGTCTTCAACGTCCTCGCGTCTCCAAAAGCTTTTCCGCACGTCACGCAGGTGTGCTCTTTTATGCCCAGATGACTGCGTTTGTGGACGGCCAGGTTGCTCGATGTGTGGTAGCGTTTAGGACATTTATCGCAACCGTACGGCTTCTCACCTGAAAAATTGCTATTTCTGTAGAGTGCTCTTATAGGTACTTTCCCCTCACACAGCGCCGACGTAATGTGGGGACGGAGTTACTGAGATTTTTTTTTGAAATATGGAAAGTTTTGGGAGCAGGTACACTTTCATAAAAAGTTATTGCCTGTCAATGATCGCCCCCTGAGAGAAATTTCTGCGGACACCATGCCTGGGAATTTAACTCTTGTATTCATACGGCAAGATGGCAGAGTGCGCGATTTGTAGGTAAACCAAGCTGTTTGTTTATAAATTGGATTTGAAAAAAAAAACGTAAATCACATTCCTATATATCAATGATAAACTTGTCAAAGTGATCTTAGTTTATAGAGAGAATCTTTAATATCTTGATGTTTCGCGATTGTATTACTCAGCTCGATTTTCTGGATGTTTCCATCCCGTGCCGCGTACCTTTATCTCGTACAGAGGCCATTTGTAGGAACGTCAAGGAGAATACTGTAGATCTAGATAGTCCCTGGAGTTTCAAATTGAGGAAATAGTTTACGAAGTTGTATTTTTGAATCGAAGGGTGAAAACTTGATCAGTATTCATATGCAACCTACAACAGGGCGATATTAAAAATATGTTAGGCTCACTTGTTCCTGAAAAGAAAAGCTGCAATTTCTAGAACACCTCATATAACCCGTCAGGAAAATTTAATGCTTAGCCCTACTCAATGAGTTTCATAGAAAATGTTTACACTATGTACCTTAAAGATAATATAACATGTAAAACAACATAACATTCTTTGGAGGCCAGCGATTGTGGTTGATAATATGGCAGATAATCAAAGTTCATTTTTCTCTTCTCGTGATAAAGAAAACTTAATACTACTGTCATTTTTGATAGTTACCTGTGTGGGATCTCATGTGTATTCTTAAATCTGCAGCTCTGCCTGCTCTTTTCCCACAAACTGAGCATTGAAATCTTTTCTCTCCTGTATGGCTTCTGTAGTGAGCATTTAAGGCACATTTTGTTGTGAAATTCTGAAAAGGAGCTCCGTCGTCAATTAGTAATAGAAGGAATAAGGAAATTTCATTGTTCTAAATACAGGGTGAGTCAAGAAACGATGGGAATATTTCTAGAGCATTATGAAATACGATTTTTTTTATTTTCAAAATTCTGTATCTTGGCGAGTATCGTAACACGCCGGTAAGAGCGTTAGGCTACAGTTTCAGACCTCAAACTGTACACTATACGAGATATATAATATAATTAAAATTTTACATTGACACCCTTAAAATAATTTCCTTCTGAAGTTACACAGTGCTGGAGACGGTTCTTCCACTCCTCATAGCAGTGCAATACTGCAATAGCTTTCTGCTCGTCGGATACAGCAGGTTGAATGTTTTCGACTGTTACCTTGAGGTGACTTTCCAACTTTGCAAAGAGGGAAAAGTCACAACGACTCTAGTCAGGCGAATATGGAGGCTGGAGATCAAAAACTCAATTATTGACATTTTTGTGTGACAATGAGCATTATCATAATGCAACACACAGTTATTAAGTCTGAAGCCAAATCTGATAGCACACCATGGCTTATTTTCAGAGCACAACAGAAAATAAACTAAATAACTCGAGCTACTTCAAACTTGTACTGAAGGCGGATCACCTGTTTCCTGTTTTCCCACCAAGCCTGGCGCCTCCAGTGTTGCTAGATCGAGAGCTACGTTGCCAGTCTCATCACTTAATTTACACACCTTGTACAGGGTGTTACAGTATATTAGAATTCAGAAGAGCTTGTTGTATTTTTTGACCTACTTTATGCAATGTTTTCTGAATCACTCTGTATATTTATACAGGGTGTAAACGTTATGATAGTCATTATTTAAATGGGTGATTGAGGTGGTTAAAAGAAGCAAAAAGTGTCATATAACATGGGGGTCAAAACGGCATTTTTTTAGAGAAAAGTGACTTTAAAGTAAAATAAAATCTGACTACGCCGCAATGCGTGTAAATAAAGATGGAGTTTGTTATTTTTGGCTCTTGGGCATTATTTGATAATGTACTCGTAAAATGCAAATAATTAAAAAAACGGACTTACCACTAACTGTCTCAACGCTTCACCTGGTGTGTGAAAGTTTATTGAATGTATTAAAAAAACCACTTATAAATATGGAACACAATTTTGATACAAACATTGCTTTTCTGTTTAAAACCTACACTGCACTTTTTTTGTATTTAAAGAAGGTGTTCAAAATGTCGTCCTCCACTTTCCACACAAGCTTCATTACGACGACGAACCCAGTTTCTTCTTACTCTAGGTTCTCGAAGTTGTCCATTTATTATTTCAGTCGCATTAAAATTTGTTCGCGAAGTTGTGCTTCAGCTGTAATTGGACCAGCCCCATAAAACATCCCTTAAGTTCTCCTTAATACCAGAAATCTATCGAATTGATGTCAGGAGATCTTGCTGGCCATTTTCGAGGATCAGGAGCATTTCGAACGATCCAGCGATTTGGATAATGTTCATTCAAATACTGAATGACGCCTCTACAAATGTGTGGTGGTGCTCCATCATGAAGAAACCACAAATTCTGTCTCTGTTGTAATGGCATGTTGTCTAAGGTCTGTTCCAAAAGTTCTGGCAGGTTATTGGCTAGAAAGCTAAGGTATCCTTCTGACAACTTTGGGGGTAACTCAATTGTCAAGAATAAAGAAATAAAGAAATTTTCTTGGGCCCACGTGTGAGTATTATGGAAATTCAATATCCCGTCTCGCGTAAAAGTACATTCGTCCGTCGCTAGAATGTTTTTAAAAAAAATCCGGATTTTCAATGTTTTTGAGCAAAAACCACTGACAGAATGTTAGTCTGCGAGAATAGTCTTCTGGTAACAAGGCCTGCACTCGTACATGGTAGGGATAAAGCAAATTTTCCCGTAGGATTCTATGGACTATGGTATGCGATAGTCCTACGCGGCGGCCTAATTATATAATAATAATAAATGGGCTTTATTTCGTACTTAAGTAAAAGTACAAAAAAGGCGAAGTGTCGCTAAGATTAGCGTTTTTCAACTTAACCTTATTATTCCCGACTGCTGATATCTGCATTGATTTCCACAATATTTAAAATTTGTTCCTTCTGCTCTACAGTAACCTGTCTTTCACGAGTGCGAATATTAGTGGGCTGAACACTTCCTGTATCTCAAAGTCTTTGGTACACTTGCACAAATGTCCTTCTGTCTGGGTGTACCCGTCGACAAAACAATAAAGCAATTTCTCTATGCAAAACGATAACAAACCATTGATACTGTTTGCGATCGATTGCCGGTTCGATAAGAGTGATGAAAGAACGACGCGCTGTTGTCAGGTGTGTTTTAAATATTTAATTTAATGAAACTTACTTACTACAAATTTTGGCTTAACTTAGAAAACTTAATGCCATTTCTTTGTTAATTACCCAATTTAAAAAAGTTTTAGATTAGATCATAAAAATTAGTAAGGTTGTGGTCGATATAAAGCACTTAAAGTTGTAAACTATAAAGTCATTTAGACAAAAATCTATTGACTTTTGGACCATGGGTCATATGAACTTTTTGACTTGATTTGACCCCCCCTATTACCCATTTCAATAATGACTACCATAACGTTTACACCCTGTATAAGGAATATAATGAAAGACTGATTATAGTTCTACCTTTGGGCATGTATCACACTGATAAGGTCTCTCCAGTGTATGCGTTCTGCTATGAACTCTGAGGGAGGATGAAGTAGCAAATGAGGTGTTACAGACATTACACTTGTATGGTTTTTCACCTGTGTGGGTTCTTTTATGGGTTCTTAATACAAAAGAATGTGCAAATCTTCTCCCTATAACAACAATAAAATTTATAATCATGATGAATATTGTGCTGACTAAACAATATTTTTTACATGTTCTTCAAAGATGTTTTATTGTTGGTCTAAAATCTTAAAACAAATCATTTACCCAATAATGGCACTTAATCTCCAAAAGGATTGTTTATAAATGATATTAATAATAAAAACGTTTATTGAGATACAACTCAAAAGGGTATTGTATAGACATTTTTCAACCCTTTTGTAAGCATTAATATAAATAGATAAATTGCGCAAGTACAGATTGATAATAGACATCAGACAGATATAGTTAAATAACGTGGTTAACACATTACAATCAGTATTGACATTCTACATTTAAACTGCATAAATGGACAAGTAAATAACTACAGAAAAAAATATAAATAGATGTCATTCTTGATGTATTTAAAAATGTTTAGTGTTCAGATAACCAAAATACTAACCACAAAATTCACATTCATGATTCTTTTCCCCAGTGTGTATCTTGTTATGTGTACTTAAAGAATGCCTAGTAGTGAATTTTTTCCCACAAGTTTCACAAGATACTGGCTTCTCACCTGTGTGAATTCTTGTATGCAACTACAAAAAAAAAATAACTATTTTGCAGTAGCTCCCTGTTAGAACATATTAAAAAACTACTGGCTTATAGTAATTTCAATGTTTCATTATAAATCTTACCACCAAATTATTATGTTCATAAAATCTCTTTCCGCAAATGGTACACAAGTGCTTTCTGTCACCTGTATGGGTTCTCATATGCTTTTTCATACTATGTTGTTGAGTGAAAGATTTTCCACAAATACTACATGAATATGGCTTGAAAGATTCATGAAACTTCATATGGCTTCTATATTCTTTCATAGCTAAAATGAAGACAAAATATATTATTTTGCATAAAATATTGCAAAAGTTTTGTTACATTTCAACAACCTTTAGATGGAGTAAAGAATTTTTTTTTGTATATCCATACAAAAAAATTACAATCTGTATATTTATTATCGATCTCCAAGTGGAAGCGTCAATAGATTTATTGAATTGAAAGTATATGTGAAAAACATTATTACAGGAATTGCACACAGGAGATTTCAATATAAATTTTGACAGTAAAGATTTCTATGTTACAAAATTTAAATAAGTACTAAACTTCCATTGATTATGGCAGAAAATAAATGACTATACAAGGCAGTGGCGAAGCGTCCATGTAACCATTGTTACCATTGGTAACAGTTAAAAATCTTAAAAATAAATACGCGTGCAATTAAACATGAATGAGTGTCGCTGCGTAAGCGCTAACTACTTGAAAAGTCATTCTCCTTGTATAATTTTTAAGGAAAAAAAAAGGAGATCATTGAAGATGGAAGACCAACACCTATTTTAGATAATTTTAAAAAGGAATAAAAAAACGTAGTTTGAGATATGATCGCTGCATTATAGATTTATGCGGTTGAGGAACTACTGTGCCACGAATTTTGTACCTGGTATAATGATTATGTTTAATTTTTGGTCGGTGTTTACAAATTTATGGTAGTGAGTGATACTGTGTAAGAAATAAAGCTGTCTTATATCATACATTCGAACATCTGCGTATAATTTTTCAGTGGGATAAAGTTTCGGTTTTTTAAATATCATTTTTAGAATACTTTTTTGAAAAACATCTAAATTATAGATATGTGAGGAACATGCAGCTCCCCATGCTAATATACCATTATAGTTGGTATATGGAAACTCTTGATTATGTGGTTAAAAAAACAGATTGTATTGTTGGTGATGTCATCTGTTTTATACAGAAAAAGAAAAGCTATCTCAAAATTGAAATCTAATAAAAATCCGAATGAGAATCTCTCAAAAATATTCTAAATGATTGTTTCAATATAATTGGAGAGAAATTATTATTACTGGTGAATCATTGTTTACATCATTACTCCTGTGCAAAATTCTCAGCTGTATACAAATATGCGGCCGATTAATGTCTTGCCTGATGTCGAGAAGCTGTTCGAAGGGATAATATACGAACAAATCATAGAATTCATTGAAGAAACAAAATTTTAATAAAAAATCAAGCTGGATTTAGAAAAAAATATTCCACAGAAACGACAATCCAAATAGTGGTGGAAGACTGGAGAAGAAGTATAGATGAGAAAGAATATATTGTAACAATATTTTTAGACTTCAAAAGGGCATTTGAGACTATAGACAGGGAAAAATTGTTAATGAAATTGTATCACTATGGCTTTAAAGGATCAGTATTAGAGTATTACACATTTTACAAAATTATTTAGTAAATAGAAGTCAAAAAATTAAAGTTGGAAATACTGTCAAGTGTTCAAAATATATCAGTAGGGGTGCCACAGGGGAGTAAATTAGGGCCGTTACTATTTATTATTTATATAAATGATATATCTGACATTTTAGAACAGTGCAAAATTCAAATATCTGCGGACGATACACTTATATATATAGCATTTGGACACGCTTTAGAACTGTTAATTAGTGATATTAAAAAAATATGAATTGGTTAAATGTCAATAAACTTAAACTAAACACTAATAAAACAAAATGTATGTCAATAGGGAAACATTTAGGTGACAATAGAATTAGGCTCATGATTAATGATGGAAAAATTGAAGTAGTAGAGTCATTAAATATCTTGGTATATATGTGGATAGTAAGCAAGTAAGCTACTGTTTCACAAACATTATAAATACATTATTTCAAAAATATCGAAAAAGATGAATTACTTCTATAGAGTTTCCCATAATCTTAGTATGTATTCCAAAAAAATTGTGTAAACACTATAATCAAATTCGAATAACCAAAATTTCTGTGTTATGTGCCGCGGTTATAATATGGTTCAAGATGACACACGGGTTGATGACGTCAGTTACACGAATCGCTTGAACGCCTTGGTGTTAACCGCGGTTTTGTTGCAAGTTGTTTATTTTAGAAAAGCACGTATATAATCTCTGATTATTTTTATTATCACTTAATAATCGGTGCTTTTTCGTCTACAACTGTATACGGAAAGTTTAAATAAGAAACCTTTCATAATATTCATGGGAGAAGTGTTTTTTCAGACTTTTTTTTTTAATGATGGAACCATGGCTTTGTAGCTATGATAACTTTCAATTCTCTAAATTTTCCGCATGTTAAAGAAAACAGTTATTGATTCAGCAGAAATGATGAAAAAAGAAATTAGCAAAACCGTATACAGGTGGATATCATCTAGTGAGTTTATATGGCCATATTTTAATATTCTTGTGGTATATGGCTACACAGGATACTTTGTTAAGCATAGGAACTACATTTAAAGTGTCCCCAACAACTGTAATGAGTATAACTAATAAGGTGCTCCACTTTATGGTAAAACTGAAGTCAGCCTGTATCATTTTTCTCAAAAATGAAGCTGAAGTACAATAACAATATCCAATACCCGGCAAAATTCTAACTTGTCACATTTCAAATAATAACCAGAAATATAAAACTACTCTTGAGTTGGGTAAATACTACAATTTTGTGGTGATAACTATGACATATAACAGCTGATTCGTGACGTCACGGGTCTTATAACCAAACTGATAACTACACTTGCTTGAACGGATTGGTAAATACCAACCCAAAATGGTAAATACCATTTCCATTTGGTTATCCGCTTGAATTTGATTTATAATTCTTCCTCATTTTGTATATTGTTCAACCATCGTGTTTACAGCAAATGAAAACATATTTTCAAAACTACAAAATAAAGCTATGAGAAGCATTTTAAATAAAAACAAATATGCTAGGATTAAGAAGAAAAAGATTAAGAAGAAAAATTTCATATATTATTTAGTTCTCGTTTTGATATTCAAATTAAAAAATCATTTATTACCACCACATTTAGAAAACTTCACAAAATTAAGTAGTCATTATCATAACTATGAAACTAGAGGCATCTGCAAAATTGTAATAGCATAACTAGTAAATGTATATTTCAAAAGGCAGTATTTGAATTTAATAAATTGAATAATGATATTAAACAGAGTTCGATTTGAAAAATGTCTAAGGTGAAATAAAGAATCAAAATGCATAGTGACATAATTTTAATAAACAAGAATGTAAAATTACAGAAATTGGATTGAAGAAAATATGTAACCAAATCATTATACAAAATTGACATTGTAGCATTAATGCTAAATAAATCTTCAACAAAAACAATGTGAATAAGTCAAATTATTTTACGAGTTAAATAATATACTTACTCTGAAATTGTTTATTACACTCAACGCATGTTGGTTTCACACCATGTTTTACCATAGAGTGAACATTTAAAATACCTTCATGTTTGAATGTTTTTTCACATTTTGTGCAAGGGAATTTTAACGAGCTCTCCTGATCATTTTCAAAGATATTTTTTCTCTCATTTGTATCTTGAGCTTTTAGGTCATTATTAGTATCACTAGCAATGACTCCTTCATTTTCTGCTTCATTGTCACTGTCTTTCTCTATAGTTAGTTGTATAGTCTAGAAGTTACATACTGTGTAAGAATCCTTCTGTAACATGTTATTGCACTGACGAATTCTTGCTTACCTCTACCTCTGTTCCAAATTCAGGTTCGTCATCTCTATATTCATCCTTTACCCTTTCTTCTAGTAATGTAATTGAGTCACAAATAATAGGTTGATCGTTAAATAAGGCATTTCTTAGCTGTTTGTCACATTTCAAGCATTGGTCTTTGAAATTTGTGGCTATTGTCAAAGCTATACAGCAGTCCCCACATATTTTACTTGGAAGGCCATCACCGACACTAATCTTGAAACAAAATAGCATTCTTTGTTACTGATACTTTGAAAGAGTATAAAATGTTGAAATAGGTACCTCTATTGAAGTTATATCACATAGCTGCTTGTTTATATCAGATTGGATAATGTCCTGCAGTTCTTCTGTATTTTTCTGGGATAGGCAAGTTCGACAAAGCACATTTATATCTGTTACAATTGTAATTTCAGTCATAATTCCTCGAAAAAGGTGGACAAAAACTAAAAATTCATTAAATAGGTAGTTAAAAGTTTTAACAGCTATTTGTTTAAATTTTGGGTAATGTAATGACGTTGGACGTAGGATAGTGACACAGTGACAGAGTGATAGAAATGTTGAATTCCAACGTTGCCATATCATCAAAGTAATTTTCATTAGATGGAGCACATTTAAGCTGACAGGATTATTACCTAAAAAAACCCATATAGTGTAAAAAAAACTGCAAAATGACAACTTGCTGACTAGATAATTCCTGGCGTACAAATAGTTCATTCAATGTTTGCTCGCTATGAGCGCTGTAAGCGTCACCAAAAGCGTCATCTATGGAGGAATGACTCAACGACACGCTCAATGAATATGCTGCAACTCAGTTCCCCATGCTTTGTTGGTTGCAGAATGCCGAGATAGCCTGAAGAGCATATATCTGAGATGATGCGACAGAAAGAATTAATTGAGTAGCAAGATCGCACCTAGGCGATTGTGTGTCTGCATGCGTATAAAACCAGTAATATTTGCGTATGAGAAAATCATTCCTATTAGCTGTAGCTATAGCAGGGTTACTTGTATTGTCGTTTCGGAAGAGAGATTATGTTCAAAGTTAAAAATTACGATTCTCCACGTTTTTCTTTGCGTTTTCAAAAACTTTGAGAAGCATTACGGGAAATCACTACAGCGCCCGCGTTGTGTGTAAATAAGCTACATCACAAAAAAGAGAAATGATGCATCACACAAAAAACATTTTCGCAGTGCCTCACATCCATGCGATGATTTGTATTTTCAACTTGACATCGCAAAATAAATTCTCATAGAATTTAAATGATTGGAAATAAAAAATAATGTAAAATGTAATCACTTTTTCACGTTTCATGAATATTCATGTCTTCAGCATATTGTCTCACCTGTTGTGATATACTTCATCAACCAGCGATTTTCATTTCTTATCTCTCTCATTCTTGAAATTCAGCAAATTTGCAAATGTAATTACCAGGATGAATAAGAAAAGAAGATGCGCGACTAATTTCTAGCTTTGCATACATCTCAAGTAAGTGTATTTGAGACAAAAAAAACCGATGACCAATAATGACATCTCTGAAGCAGATGTTACGTCACATCGGAGCCAAACATTGACAGCTGAAGCGTCACGACGTTTAGGCAACACGTACAGCAACAGAACGAGTGCACTTCAAGTGAACAAACAACAGCTAGTTTTAAGTTGACATCTTTTAGAAAAACCTACATTGTGTCACAAAAAACCTATATAATGCAAAAAATCGACATAATGTCACTTTTCAATATACGTGATACCCCTGCGGATTTGACTTGAGCTGGTGGAAAACGATGATCAGTGTTTTAATCATTTCCCTCTTCAAGGCGTCTCAAAGTTGAGAAAATTTGTGTTTTGAGTATCGGCGATGGTGAGCCACTAATTTCGTTCTCCAGGGCCCTTCCCTTTCTAAGTAAACAAGATTCGAGTGGCTTAAAATCATAACATTATTTTCCACTTACAGTAGGTGCAGTTTATATTCATTATTCACAAAACCATGGATATTTGAAACAATATGATATCGCAACAAATCATGTGGATTATTATACATGCATTGATGACGCAGGCTGCTAATGCAAAGAGATTGTATTGGTAACCGGTCAGGGGGTAGAGTGCTTTGTACATCATAGCAATGTGTTCCTTATTATTAAAAAAAAACGTACGCTTGCAAGCTTAGGAAGGGAGGGACCTTATAGGAACGAAATTTGTGCGATAAAAAAATGGTGGAAATCGAGCGTTTTGCGCTTGGCTCAAAACGGTAGATCTACCGTAAAAAGGTTGATCTGGCATCGCTGTATACAACTCAATACAGTGTGGTCTAGCTTCAAGTTGCTGCCACTAGATATTTTTTTCGAGGAGGAAAGAAAATAAAAAATTGCATTTCATTGTATATTTTATTTTAAATACGATTTTAGTGGCGATTAAACAGGATGTACGATAAACCGGGGGGCATATATTGTGCGCAGGGTTGCTAGATTTGCCACTTTCGCGCCAAATTGTCGATATTTGATATGCTTCACAGACGGCGTTTTCAACTTGACAATTGGCGATTTTTGTTGACGATTTCCAAGAATATTTCTGGCTTCATTAGCGATTCGATAAAGGTTCACTCATTTCACAGTACGGTTCTTTCCAAAACATTACATTAAAATCATTAGTAATTTTATGTTTATAGATTGGCTGGCTCCAACTCGAAAATAGCAAAATCGCATACTGCAAGCATTAGAGAGTTTTTTAATTCAACAAAAATATCAAATCGTTATGCCTTCCGTTATGTTATTTTTGACAGCAACAGCAAATGACAATTTCCGATCCTAAATAACGTACATAGATTCATATTTTACTATAACTATTTTCAAATCATTAAATTTGACCTAAAAAATGGCATCTCATGAAGTCATCACACGTTACCACCGAGCAGATGGTCAAAAATATCCCTATTCATTCGCGACATCAGGTTTTTTAGTACTGCGAAATGTTTACGTGTGGATCTCCTCAAATAATAACGAATTTCAAATTTCTGCGCAAAATTTTAAAAACATTTAATGTGGTAATAGAAAACAAATAGTTGGGGATTTTGGGAACATTGAGAAGCATGAGGGGAGCAGGGGTGGCGATTGAATGCTTAAGCAACTGCCCTTGTGATATTTGAAGACTGGGGCGTCGGATACGTCTATATACGGGTACGGAAAAGTAACAGAGCAAAACACATCGCTAGCCCATGCTAACGCAGTTTCTCTTTGAATATGTCGGCGTACGCGCACGCCGACTCCATTGGCATGGGCGTGCGATTTGTTTTGCTGCTCTCTTCCTTTTCGGTAGCAAATCATAGGGATGCGGGACTGCGCACATCTTCACGATTTAGTTGTATCAAGGTAATTTTCGCAGAGGGCAACGGGCGCTGCTGTCGACTTATTTACGTATCTATTGCATTCAGAAAATGGAAAAAAATGACTGTAGATAGGGCAGTGGAATAGGCAACAAACAACCTGAATTCACAGTATTTTATTTTGAACATACAAAACGACTAGAAATCACAAAACTGTAAACAGTAGGTACATGACTTATATGGCACCATATCCTAATACTAACCCTCATTTCACTCGACCAGTATATCTGTTTGTCGTTTGTTCGATTATACAGGGTGTTTCAGTTTATTGTTGAATAACTTTAAGATTCGATAGAACTTTTAAAATTAATGCATAAAGTCTATATAAACATGGGTCGAAAAATGCGTGGCTTCCGAAATACGGGGGTGTTTAAATTTACTTTCTAAAATAGTTTTTTTTTTTAATATTTCGAACAATATTTGATTTATAACAGTGAAAATTGGCATACAAGGGTTTTTTGATACGACAAAACGAACCATGGGCATAGTTTTACTGTAGCCGCTAGAGGGCGCTCTCTACTGTAGCTGTAGTGTATTAAAAAGACCGAAAAATTTTTCTTAGTGCAATTTTTTGATTTTTGAATAAAAAAACTGATTCGTCGCACTTTTCAACATAAAAAAGCTCTCCTGTGGGTTTTCGTTATAGTTAGCCGTTTTTGAGATATTTCGATTTTTAAGGTTCGATGCATTTTTAATTATTTATGGGAAAATAATATTTTTTTTACATTTTAGATTTGGGCGTTACAAGTAATTAAGATGATCGTTTAGATTGTGTTTTTAAACACAGCAATAATTCGTAACTCCAAATAAACACAAAAAAACAGAATATTATTTTTAACAAATTAAATTAATTATTTACAACTAAAATGCTATTGGATAGTTAGGACAAACATACAAAATCTAAAGTAGTTGCTCGAAATGTAAACCCAATTGTTCAATACACAATTCACATCTACGAATGATCAAACGTGGTATAGCATTATTCAAATAAGGCCTTATTGCATCACATGCATTCCTGATTCTGTCTATTAGCATATCTCTTGTGGTTACGGGAGTCTGGTACACTTTTTCTTTTAAAAATCCCCACACAAAGAAATCTAATGGATTCAGGTCAGGGGATCGTGGAGGCCAGGCGACTGGTCCTCCACGGCCGATCCATCTTTCTGGATAATTTTCGTCCAGCCAGTTTCTAACTATTCTCGAATAATGAGCTGGACAACCATCAAGCTGGAACCAGGCCAATCTTCTTAAATCTAACATAACATCATCTCACATATTTGCAGGTTCAGCCTTTAAAAATTCCAAGAAGGTTGCAGCATTTAACTTTGCAGGCAAAAGGTAGGGTCCAAATAGTCGATTACGGTAGATACCAATCCACACGTTCACACTAAATTCATGCTGAAAATTTCTTTCCCGAACTGCATGCGGATTTTCATGCGACCAAATATGTTGATTATAAAAATTTACCACTCCACGTCTAGTGAAGCATGACTCATCGGTCCATAAAACGTTACTTAAAAACTCCCTATTATTATCAGTTCTATCAAGAATCCACTGACAAAATGTGATTCTTCATTCTCCGTTCCCTGGCTGTAGTCCTTGCACAGGTTGCAAATGTAAGGACGTCTATGGTCATTTCTAAGAACCCGGTGAACATGGCTTGCTGAAATTCCCAAGGCACCAGAAACTCTCCTAACACTTGTGGTCGGATCTCTATCAAACTCACGCAGAATCATACGGGTAAATCTGCGCTGACGAACATTTATGTTTTGATCCCTTTGGAGATTTCCAAAACCATTTTCAATTATTTGGCGATGCACTCTTACAAATACTGAGCGAGTTGGATGTCGTCTGTTTGGAAATCTTCGTGCGTATTCTCTGGCTGCTTCTGCTGCGTTTCCATTTACAAAGCCACACACAAAATGAATATCCGCTAACTCTTGATTAGAGAATAAAAATTGTATTTTTATAAAACTTACAAAAAAAAAAACAGGTAAAAGAAACTAAATTTCGTGCATTCACAATTGCAAAAAAACGTTTCAGGTTTCAACAGACAACAAAACTAACTGTCAACTAATTGACCTTTAACCTTATTCTGCTTTCAATTTCAAAAATATTTGCAGGCACAGCCTACTTCTAAAAATTATCGAGATACTGACTTTTTAACGTTATTTTATCATAAATAATTAAAAATGCATCGAACCTTAA